AAATAAAAAAAATAACATCAAAAAATATGATTGATTACATTATATTTCAACTTTAAAGGGACACTATAGTCACCTGAACAACTACAGCTTAATGTAGTTGTTCAGGTGAGATCTATAGCTCCTTGCAGGCAATCTAATGTAAACACTGTATTAGGCAATCTAATGTAAACACTGTATTTTCAGAGAAAATACAGTGTTTACATTGATTGATAGGAATAGCTCCAGTGGCCGTCACTCAGACGGCCACCAGAGGGACTTCCTATCATGTATGGCCCTAAAAAGGCCATGTATACGTCAGACGTATTAAAATATGTCTGACGTGTGCAGGAGAGAGAAGGAACTGTGTGCGCGCCTTCTCTCTCCTGCCTGTCAGCAGAGGAGAGGGGGCGGGCAAAGACCGCGAGCTGAGCTGTCAGCTCAGCTCGCGGCTGCGAAACACCGTGCACATGCGCAGTAATGCGCTCAGGACTTCATAGGGCGGCATGAATGCCGCCCTATGAAGTATGTGCACATGTGCCGCGAAGCCGCGCATGCTCAAAAGGGAGTAATGAGCGTCTGATTGCTCCCTGCTCGCGCCCGTCTATTTAGTCATTTTGACAAAATAGGGGGCGCGGCTTCGCGAGGCTCTCGGCGCTGGAACGAGGTGAGCAAAAAGGGCTGCCCGGAGTGTCCCTTTAATGTTTGACTTTCAATACAAACATGGCAATTTCTCTTTTTCATATCTTCAAATACCGAGATATGAAATCAGGATGGGGGGGTCCAGGTCATTAAAAAGATGGCATGTCATTTATGCTGCCACCCCTGATGATATGGGGGGCTGGTGGAATCCCCTGGACACTTCCACTCAAAATGCAGGACTCCGGGTGAAGATATGAAAAAGGCGGCTTTAATTGTATAAAAATATAAAATAAATACAAATAGAGGTCCTACGCGTTTCGTCCCTTCTATAAAGTATGGGACTTCCTCAGGGACCACAATATTAAAATAACAATCAATGCAGTACAATCAAAAAAACTGCTTTTCTAGTTACCGTAAGTACTGCTAGTTGTAATTACTGTAAGTACTGTTTGCTACGAGGTAGGTTACTGTAAGTACTGTTTGTTATAGGATAATTACTGTAAGTACTGCTAGTTATTGTAATTACTGTAAGTACTGCTTGTTATATGGTAATTACTGTAAGTACTGTTGCTATGAGGTAGGTTACTGTAAGTACTGTTTGTTATAGGATAATTACTGTAAGTACTGCTAGTTATTGTAATTACTGTAAGTACTGCTTGTTATATGGTAATTACTGTAAGTACTGTTGCTATGAGGTAGGTTATTGTAAGTACTGTTTGTTATGAGGTAATTGCTGTAAGTACTGCTAGTTATTGTAATTACTGTAAGTACTGCTTGTTATATGGTAATTACTGTAAGTACTGTTGCTATGAGGTAGGTTATTGTAAGTACTGTTTGTTATGAGGTAATTACTGTAAGTACTGCTTGTTATATGGTAATTACTGTAAGTACTGTTGCTATGAGGTAGGTTATTGTAAGTACTGTTTGTTATAGGATAATTACTGTAAGTACTGCTAGTTATTGTAATTACTGTAAGTACTGCTTGTTATATGGTAATTACTGTAAGTACTGTTGCTATGAGGTAGGTTATTGTAAGTACTGTTTGTTATAGGATAGGTTACTGTAAGTACTGTTTGTTATGAGCTAGGTTACTGTAAGTACTGCTTGTTATAGGATAGGTTACTGTAAGTAAGAAGGATGACTTTTACCATCAATACTATATGACATCACATCAATACTATTAAAATAAAGTCAGACGGAGGGAAGGAAGGCAGTGTCCATCCGCATCGCTCCTCCCTCAGTAACTGCTGACAGGATTGCGCTTACGCTGCTACATTTTATTCTATCCCACAGCTTCCTGAGCTTTTAACACTAGCTACCTTCACTCAATCCCATGCCAGCTTCAGTCCCAGTAGCAACAGTGGCACCACTTCTGCCCAGCAACCTGTCTAACTGCCCAAATGCCAAAAATTCACAAATTTCCCTGGATTTTCTATAACTCCTTCCTTGTCACATACATATGCCAAAGTGCTTAAAGGAACACTATAGACACGTATTTCTGACACTATAGTTGAACATTTAATTTACAGGGCCAAGCCAATCTCGCTCCACCTCCATGGTGGAGATGATCAGTCTTGATCTCGTTCAATCCAATGCTTTCTCATAGGAAAGCATTGGGAGACTATTGCACATGCAAGGTAAAATGCCACATAGGCGCCAATCAGTATTTCCTCATAGAGATTGAATCAATGCATTTCTATGGGAAGCGTTCAGCGTCAAACTCTGCACCCCTTTATAGACTCACACATTGCTATACATACAAACAGGCTCATATGGAAACACACGTACACACACACAGACTCACAAACACACAAACACTCATACACAGTTAAATAGACACTGTAGGTACTGTAACTGATTTATCTCAATGAAGTGGTCATAGTGTCTAGAGTCGCCTGGCACCACATCCTTACATTCGGTGTTAAACCATTTTTAAGATCTGTGCTGCTTGTATTAACTAGGAAGTATGAGACTAAGCAATGCACGGTTGCACTTAGCTGCAAAGTTAAAGGGACACTATAGTCACTTAGACCACTTCAGCTCAATGAAGTGGTCTGAGTGCCAGGTCCCCCAGGTTTTAACCCTTCAGATGTAAACATAGCAGTTTCAGACAAACTGCTATGTTTACATTGCAGGGTTAATCCAGCCTGTAGTAGCTGTCTTCCTGAGAGGCGCCAGAGGCGCTTCTGCGACACGGAATGCGAAAATCGCATTCAGCGTGCAGAACGTCCATAGGAAAGCATTGAGAAATGCTTTCCAATGGGCAGTTTTTAATACGCGCGGCTCTGGCTGCGCATTCCACTCCACTTGGGAGCTGACGTCGGAGTGGGAGGAGAGGTCACCAGCGCCGAGGGAGCCTGGCGCTGAATTAAAGTAAGTAGCTGAAGGCGTTTTAACCCCTTCAACCCAGCGGGAGGGGGGCCCTGAGAGTGGGGGCCTAAGGGTTACATAGTGTCAGGTAAACAAGTTTATTTTACGGACACTATAATGATCCTTTAACATGAGTGAAGTTTTTTGTGATGTGAATACTTCACAAAAAATACATCAAGGAATTCCAGAGCAATTAAACTGCAGTAAATAAGTGTATAAATGAATTGGTGTAAATAAAATGCCTTTGCCCTCAGCAACTTCTACAATTAAGATGATCTAAAAAACTCTCCAGTGAATTGAACAGTTATAGTTTATGTTTATATGTTTTATCTTTGTATTATTTTGCTGCTCTGTAGCTCAGTGTATTTTTCGTGCAGTAAATAACACTAGGTGCCCCAAAGAAACACCTATAGTCATTGTGTGCCATCCACTTGCTGATACCGAGATCTTACAGAATGTTTTCAGGCTAAAAGTTTAAAGTTGGTCTTAGAAGAGTATCCCCAGCAGTGCATCTCAGCGAGTGCATGCATCAGATTAGCCAGGCCCCATGGTTTGTGGATGGATCTTTCTCAGACATGCTTTCAATTATTCTGGTCCATCATCCACTTACAGTTCACATAATAAAGTCATGCTGATTTAATTTCACTTTAACATTTTTTTTATCAAGCAATGCTCAAACAAGCTTATAATACTAGGAGTATTTTGGTTTAGGCAGATAGGCGTATTTATCTTATTTTACCATGGACAGTTACTGGTGAGGTGGTCTGATTGGGATTACCTCTGCTCTAACCAACCAATATCTAAACATGTTTATATACATGTAGCCATAGTTGTAATTTGTATTATTATTGCCATTTATATAGCGCCAACAGATTCCGTAGCGCTTTACAATGTTATGAGAGGGTGGATGTAACTATAAATAAGACAATTACAAGAAAACTTACAGGAACGATAGGTTGAAGAGGACCCTGCTCAAACGAGCTTACAGTCTATAGGAGGTGGGCTATATGAACCAGATTACTCTACTGGTAATAAACACAAATGCATGCAAATATGTGTGTACACCCTTACAAATTTTTGTATAATACTAGGGGGAGATCTATTATATACTTAAAACAAATTCAGAAATGATAGAACAAGCACGTAGAGTATCATCAATTTATACAAATACATTTTGTAATTGAAAACAAAATCTGTGTGACTCATTAGCTTAAACTACATGACATATAATATTGTGTTCCTTACTAGTGCATGTTTCACAATATATCTTTGAGTTTTATGTTAATGAGATGCAAAGTATAAATATTTAAATACACTTGGGAACAGCACAGATTTATTAATGAAACATAGATGGCAAAAATTTCCCTCCGATTCTGTTGCCTCTTTTACTATAAATCTGGCTGCATTCACAATCCATCTCCTACAGTATTAGCATATGGCACTGTGCCTGGATGAAAAGCCTTAATATTATGTATAGATGTGATTACCAAGCTCAACAGTAGTCATACAATTGACCTCTAAAAGATGAAAGGCTGAGTTGAATCTGCACAGAATACAACCCGTAATTTAGAAATGTAAAGGTTTCTCCATTTGGTAGCCTGGTCTATGTTTTCATTTTCATAACAGTTTAGATAATTACAAATATGTATCTTTTAAAAAAAATAAAAAAATTATTTAGCATATTTCATTGCTCTCATGAACAGCAGTAAAGTACTGGCATTCCATTGTAAATCGTCAGATAGAGGATTTTGTTTTAGCATGAAGTATGCATTAGATCCTGTTTGTTGCTTATTATATTATCCATCCTGTAGCCCATGGAATAACATAGTAGGTGGAATGGGCCCTGACAGATCTAGGGGCAGGCATAGGAAGTAAGTGGGAAGGGGTTAGTAATGGTGGGCTTAGGGTGAGTATATATGGTGGCTATCTTAAAGATTGCCCCCTTTCTAATCAGCCACCCTTCCCTGTAGTTGTGTAGGGCCGGTGTCTCCCTCATTGTTTTACAGGTGGATCCAGTGGAGGCCTTCTTGGTGATTGTCCGGGCGATGGTGGAGCGCAGGATGGACCCAAGAAAGGCTCAAAATGCTGGGAACGTCATCAGGCCCATCATCGATTCCAGCGAGCCGGCCAACTCGAAGGACAATGCGGCCGGAGTGCCTTAGTCCTGGTGCCATTCCGGCAAGAAGGAGGAGGTGGAGCACTGGAGCTCATGCAGGAGATCCTGGCCGGAAGACAGGCGGCGGAGCATCCAGATTGAATGTAGTGGTGCGGCCCGTGCCACTTGTGAACCGCAGCACAGGGCCTGGTCGTCAAAGAACACGTGACCGCGGTCGTAAGGCGCCCAGTCGTGAGGCAGGGGACAGGAAAGCGGCAAAGTTTCGGGCGGCGGCAGGCTCCCAGAGGATGGTAAGCGCCACCAGGTGTTGGGAGGCTGCACTGCAGTCAGGCAATATAAGCGGTGAGTCAGACCACAGTCCCTCAGATGGCCAGTCATCACCACATCCTCTTAGGGACATGTGTGAATTTAGGGGTGAGTGGGCCAGGAAGGTTAGAAGGGGGGGTTCCCCTAAAACGGTCCAAGCTCCGACTGGGGCCGGGGTCCCCATTTAGGTTGCACACCCATACAAAGAAGCAAGGTTGGTTGGCTGAGAAAGGGTCCCCAGCGCAGTTCAGGCTCCCACCAGGCGAGGTCTTAACTGTGGGGATTGCACAGTTTCTATTGCGGCCCTGTCTGGGGCCAGGGAGCTGGTGCAGTGCCAGGCCGGCCAGGAGGAGGAGAATGAGGCCATGGTGGCTGGCCCTCAGCAGGAGGACCACAGGGGCCGCTCCTGGGCAAAATACTTAGGTTTACCTGCATCTGAGCGGGGTGGCCAGCTGGTGCACACATCAGGTGACAGCATGTCAGAGGGTGAGCAGGGAAGTACGTTCCCCTGTAGGACAGCACAGCGGGCTACAGCGCTGAGGCAATAGACATGGCGGCGAGAGCCAGTCGGTCTCTTCAGCCAGATGTAGCCGGTGCTGCCACAGTGCCTCCCAGTCAGCTAGTAGGAGAAGAAATACGTACTTCTTGCGGCCATTCAGGACAGTGTGCGCAGACTTGGAAAGGGTGGGGCGGCGGAGCGACTTAGGACGAGACGGGTAGATGTCACTGTGGACAGACTACCCAGGTGTGCTTCTTATTTCAGGGCTCCTGATCTGTTGCATGGGGTGCTTGAAAGGTGCCAGGACGTGGAAGTTGATGGAAGTACGGCTCCCCCATGGCCAGATCTATCCGGGGGTCATGGTGGTAAGTCACCCTCTACACCAAACACGGGGGGTCTCTTGGATAGTTTAAGATCTTTATTACACACTTGGAGCGAAGGGGAAGTTCAGGGAACACAGTTTGGGAGAGTATGGGAGCCTGCAGATGAAGTCAGCAAAACAGAGGCAGAGGGCAGAAGCGGAAGAGGCTGGTGGTGCTGGGTCCACGTGCTTGGCAATAAAAAAAGTGGGGACGGTTCCTGCCAACACTGCGGGAGGAGGGGATGAGCAGAGCGAATTGTTGGGGTGTATACAGGATGCGGCACGACAGAACGTGCACGTGTCATTCGCCGGTCCCATAGGATGTCAAAGAAATTATTTGGCGGGGGAATTTGTAGAAATGTTTTCCCTGCTCCCGCTAGAGGAGTATATTAATTTGAAAGAGGATGACCTTAAGGATGGTAAGAAGGAGGAGGAAAAAAGGCTCAGGTATCGTAAGATACCAAAGTCTTTCAGGAACTGTCTGCGGGTCTTTTGTATCTTAGCAGGTGTACTGGGAAAAAAAATTCATGGAGCGTTGTTCCCAGTTCTTTTCCTACTTAGACGGCATATGGGAGGCTTATCGTACATATGGCGGATTGGCATAGTGGAAGTATGATGAACAATTTAGGCAACGCTTGTCAGCAAATCCAGGAATGCAGTGGGACCAGATGTACCTGCTGCTTTGGATGAAATTGATGACGGAAAAGGCCTCCCCCTTTTTGGGAGGAGAGAGGGGGATTGCTGGAGCAGCTTCCTCCTTGTCGGCTGCTCAGAAAAAAGGATTCTGTTGGCTCTTCAACGAGGGACAGTGCAAGTGGGGAGTCACATTCAAACGCGAGTTCCAACACGAGGGCTCCGGCTGTGGGGGAGCTCACGGTTAACACAAGTGCTTCAAGAGAGGTAAGGCTACATCTGGAGGAGGCAGGGGCACATTCGCGGCCCAATCTGCTTCCGCTGATGCTAACACCGGTGAAGGTCGGCGTGATGTGGCCTTGACTAACGCTAACCAGGAAGATGCGAGATTGTTGCGGGTGGGGTTTTCAAAAGGCTTTTTTATTCCATTCAGGGAAAGGGTTGTCACTCGTCGCTTTCACAACTTGAATTCGGTCCTTCAGTATACCGGAGTAGTGCAGGAAAAATTATTTAAGGAGGTGCGGCTGGGGAGGATGGTGGGGCCATTTGGGGTACCTCCTCCTGGAGTTTTTCCTTGCCGGGGCCAGTCTTATGCCCGCTCTCATGTGCTATGTCTTATTTACGGAGGTTCGTTCGGAAGTTGCTGGCTTGTTTTTGATTCATGAAGACGGGTCATCTCTGTTGTGCTTTCAGTTTATTAGTGTATGCCGTCTGGGTCTACAGAGTTTGGGTTTGGACCACCTAGAGTTTGGGACGCACTCCTTCCGGATTGGGGCAGCAACAGAAGCGTCTCGGCTGGGGCTTGGCAAAGATCTAGTCAAGCGGATAGCTTGGTGGGAATCGATCAAATTTTGTTCTTACGTACACCCGCATCGGATTGTTTAAAGATGTTGGGCATGATTGGTTCCACAATGTTTACATTCTTATTCTCGTTTCAGGTTGGGTGGCATGGTTAATCGGCCACTCCATCTATGGGGCGCACCGGAGAGACGCTGTTCGGAAACAGGGAATGCAGCTGGGTTTCTCACGGGCCTCAGTTTTTTCTATGTTGGATGGGTTTTCAGTGGTATAGAAACATAGAATATGACGGCAGATAAGAACCATTCGGCCCATCTAGTCTGCCCAATTTTCTAAATACTTTCATTAGTCCCTGGCCTTATCTTATAGCTAGGATAGCCATATGCCTATCCCACGCATGCTTAAACTCCTTTACTGTGTTAACCTCTACCACTTCAGCTGGAAGGATATTCCATGCATCCACTACCTTCTCAGTAAAGTAATACTTCCTGATATTATTTTTAAACCTTTGTCCCTCTAATTTAAGACTATGTCCTCTTGTTGTGGTACTTTTTCTTCTTTTAAATATAGTCTCCTCCTTTACTGTGTTGATTCCCTTTATGTATTTAAATGTTTCTGTCATGGTTAGGTGTGAGAAAAGAGATTTTCAAACGTTTGGGAGTGGGTCGGCCCCCAGACATTATATTAATTCATCGGGTGTGAAATTATTTGGGGCTTATTCCAAAGAGAGAATTAGTGAGGCTTATGAAGAGGGATGTGGACCGAATACGGGAACTGGTTCCTGGCGTGATTGTGGTGTGGTCCGAGATGATTCCTCTGTAGCATTAGAGGCATGCTGGGGTCCTTGCCGCTGTGGCTTGGTGTAGGGGAAAGGTTAATACGACTATGTCAGTTTTCATAAAGTGGACAGGTGGAGTACTGGTGAGGCATCAGGAACTGGAAAGGATGCTTCCTGGGTATTATCGGCCGGATGGGATGCATCTCTCAGACGTTGGTTATGATATACTTAATCTTGGCTTTCAGGAGGGTATTAGCAAGACACTGTTTTTGAGGGGTGGAGGCGCTCAGGTGGCTTGAGGTGGTCAAGACCTGAGCTGAGAACTTGCAGGGTTAGGTTGAGTGGCAAATACTCACTGGGGTTACAGTGAGTTGGTAGGTTCGAGATTATTGGTGGCTCCGAACCAGGGGGTGTAAGGGTGTCACGGTAGAACTATACGGTTGGTTATGTATTGATAAACATGCCACTTGCTTGGTATGTTATGTGTCATGTTATTAAGTTACTGTCATGTTATTGATCCTATGTAAACGTGTGGATCATTGCCTTGGTTAATTACATGTGACATTTAAGTAACCTATGTTTGGAGGTGGCAATGACTTTGTTTGTTATATATGTTGATAAAGCTGTGGACTAATATTTTCCAACGTTACATTGTAGTCTGCGTTTTAATGGGGGTGGGTATTAAATTTAAGCTGGATATGCCGATAAGGCCACTATGCGCATGTCATGTGTGTAGTATGTAACTAAAGAAAGGTATACCAGCATTAAACAGTTTAGGAATGGTTTGACTTGTTTCTTGGGGTGTTAACAGGCATGCTTTCTCCTTCCTCATAGCAGGAGGGAGCTTCTGTTCGCTCTCCGAGCTAAGCCAGCTGTGTAGGGCCAGTTTATTGGTGGAATGGTCTATATACGTTTTCAGGTAGCAGTAAAGTATTTTACCCGGAAAGACATAAATAGAAATTTCTCATTAATTTTATTATTTCAATGACAGCACTAAATCCAGCTCAAGCCTTCATGAAATTTTGCTTCTCTACTTTATTAAATTGGCACTGGCTCCAAAGCGTTATTGCCACACATGACTTTATTAAACCTTCAGAACGGTTTACTGATGTGGCCTTTGTTAGCCTTTTACTCCGCAAGTTTGCAAAAGGTGATCTGTTCTATATTCCAACACAAAATTAAACTGCCCCTTTACCAAATTCTCCGAAATTCATGATATTGACTGTGGACTTATTATATCGTACAACCATGCTTTTACCTTCCCCCCTCTTTTCCAAGAAAAGGCTCTGACTCCTTAGTGGTCGTATCACTTTTTTCACCCACAGACAATTCAAATGAAATTGAATGTCTAAAAGTAATAAATGTTTATTATTTCTGTTATCAACATTATACACTTAAAATGCTAAAGTCTCAATATATCAGGAGTTTTATAGTAAAACAGACATTTAAAAATTGACAGCTCAGCTACATGACTCCTTGGACACCTTTCGTAAATCCTGGAAAAGTAGGTTTCACTGCAAAGCTCCCCATTGTTTTGATGTATAATCGCTATGTCTTTGAAATCTCCTACATTTAAAAAATGTTAAACTAAAAATTACAAAACACATAAAAAAAATAGTAAGCTCATTAGGAAGGATCTGACAGATTTCTTTAGTGTGTGTTTTTTTTTTTTGTTATCGTGTTTGTTTTGTAAACATTTAAAACCCTGTATGAAAAGCATTCCGTTCTCTTTTCTGCCAACTCTTTGCAGGTTGATATTTCCAGTTCTTTGGTAGAAGATTATGATCTCCAGTTTTTAGTCTGAGATAGCTGTAAAGATCGAGGAAGGATATTCCTGTGGATTTGGAAGATTTTTTTGGCAAAGTGATCATAAACCCAAAGAGGGAAATTCCGGAACAAACAAGGGATGAAGTGCGCAAATCTACCTGGGGTGTATGAAAAATGGGGATTTCGTGCCAATAAAGCGTGGCACACGTCCTCTAGGACCGGTGTGAGGTCGGAAGAGGAAGTTGCAAACATTTCATGGTGTAAATCTTTAAATGTCTCCAGGTATTCTTCTCCATAATCCTCTTTTACATCAGGCATTAAACTATCCAAAATATTCCTGTTTTGGCTAGACAAGTTTTCATGAGAGTCATAAATATCTGTTATAAATAAAAACAGAGACAGATGGGGTTAGCTGAGAAAAAACAATACATTCCCTTAAAAAGGAAAAAAAAGAATAAAATAAACAGGATGGTTGGCTAAGCTGCGTCCTTGAGGGTCTTCTACAAAGCAGGGCGATTTCTAGAGTCAAATTATTGCTTTCAAAGCTTAAAAAGGCTACAAATAATGATATGTACTATGTGTACCATTTAATATCTAAGCTAAACCAAAGGGAATGATTTTGATACCACCCCTTAAAGGAACACTCCAGGCATCTAAATGAAGTTGTTAAGGTGCCAAGAGGCCCCCAGATGCACTCTTACATCAAGGGGTTAAATGTACCTTCTTTTGCAAGCCAGTTTTGTGAATGGGTAGTTACTGATTGACTGAGAGCGTAATTTTCCAAAACCAGATGCCATGCTTGGGGAAGCTGAGATTGGCGATAGATGCAACATCGGGGTTAAACCGTTCAAAACTCCTTGAAGTAAGCTTTCTCCTGGGGCCATCCTGGCACCATAGCAACTTAATTTAGATGAAGTTGCTATGATGCCTAAATTGTCCCTTCAAGACTCGACTCCATATGTACCCATGTAAATAAATATGCAGTGCAGGGATTCAAATGGGTTTAAATGGGAGAATGTGTTCTTTAAATACACACAGTTTTACAGTAATCAAACTCTCACAGCTACCCATTTTAGCCTGAATTGTGCATGAACATTTACCCATTAACTTACTTGTTTTGAAGCCGCTGGGATGAACTGCAGCTACTTTAACCCCCCATTTGATGAGATCCTGGCGCATTACTGCGCAATACATTGTGAGAGCTGCTTTGGATGCTGCATAGGCTGCTAGTCGTGGGATGGGGACATGTCCTAAAAGGAATAAAAGAAAGCAAATCTATTTTAGTCCAGTAAATGGCAGAGAAAAATTCAGTGACTGTAAAGAAATTTGATAGTAATCTCAGTAAATTGATGCTGATCGCAAAATACAATGATTTTGTTTTCATGTGAACACATTTCCCTTCAAAGACCCTCAGAAAATTACTCTATATTACAGCTACTTAAAGGGTATGGTAGAATATATGAGAAAGGCAACAGAACTACTCAAAATTTAGACTTTTACACGTGAATTCAAAACAAGACAAAAAAAAAAAAAACCATACATTGGGGGGCCTGATGGCAGACTGAGTCAGCCGCATGATGCTGCAGCTCCTCTGGAAGAAACACCTAAAATGCCTTTAAATTGGGCAATCTTGCTCTATTTTTGGCTAGAATCCTGCTTTTCTTATCACATGTGGAGCAGTTCCTGATGGCTTTTGACCACACTTGCGAACTGTTTTGGGTGAAGCTTTGGGACGGGATACCTCTCCCTCCTCCTGCTGGCGGAGTTGCAACACCACAGAACCATGCTGCTGATCGTTACCACTTACCTCAATGCTACCAGCATCTCCCAAGGGGGACACTGTGAAAAAGACAGTGGAGACGGATGGTGCAGAAGCTATCTTACAATCACGATTTTAGCCTACATGTTCGCCACGACTCGTTCCCATGGTGGCGCAACAAACCTCTCTACTTCCAGCACAGCATGCATAACCCACACGTCGGCACACTTGCTCACAGGGTACGCACTGCCGAGAAGCTGCAAAATCGAGATTCAGCAGCACACTGGACTGCCTGACACCCTGGTTCGATCGGAGGAGCCTCTTTGGAGCTGCTGAAAAAAGTGTAATTCCCACCTCACTATCTCTTGATATTGGCTGGGGGGCCAGCACACACAACCTGTTGCCCACTGGACCTAGCAAAGTTTGCCTTTTGATTACACAATAATTCTGATTTATTTTTTTTGCCCTGTCATCAGTGCACTATGCATCTATACTAGGCTGACCTACCTACCCAGTGGAAATTTCTTGTCACTACTCTCCTCAACTCTGTTCTATAACTCGAGTTATCCACTCGGCCGGACTGGGAACTAAAAGCAGCCCTGGAAAAAAATTATTTACCAGCCCCATAATGCGTCGCGCCAGCATAGTGTGCAGATACAGAGTTAGAACAGATAATTTAAAATTAAAAAGTACTTCAACGTAAAAAGCACACTCATAGGCTTCAAAATAAACAAAAGTGCAGATTTATTTTAAGCAGACGTGCCTTTGCATGTAATCAATGTTTCAGTCCAACTACCTTGACATATTAAGGAAAGTTTGGTAATGGGACTGAAATGGTGAATGTATCTTTCTCTGTTGAGAAGGCCCCAAGAGGCAGGGCGAAACGTGTCACGTGACCTGGTGATCAGGATACAAGGAAGGGAACTGAATACACACACCCGCCAGCAGGACCGGCCCCGGAAAGAGAGAGATTACACTGAACTGTTGTTATCAAACTCCCCATGGTTTGCGCAATGATATTGAAACATTGAAACATTTAAGAGCAAATGCACAAATCGATGCTTTGGAGCAAGGTTTATCTTTTATCCTGGAAAAAAAACGATCCAGGAAGTATTTTAACTCCAAAAGACAGAAACATGTTTCTGCCTCTTCTTATTTGGAAGATTTTTATATTTTTTATTTTTTTTTACTCATTTGTTTTTACTTACCTTTAATAAATCTTTATACTTCATCCTCTGCTGTTCCATGGTCCATCTACATACCAGTGGTCTATGGAGATTCGATTATAGCCTGGAAAGGAACCCTTGGGCTTAATATACAGAGCCTGGTAAGGCTCTGCAATTTGTGAGTTGTTCCACTTACTGCTTTTCAATTATTTTTACTTAAACAGTATACACTATGTTTTGTATTATTATCTTACAGACATTGTGAAGATTCCCTTATCATTTATATACATAAGTATTATCATATTGTACAACTATATTCAGTCCGAAGGGTCCACCCCTGCTCAGTGTGATTGTTTACACTTTGTTGCAGGTGACCGTGGTGTTGTTGTTTTGTACCTTTATTAAGGTGTGGGGGAAACACCTATCTCACCCTTCTATGTACTGATCACTATTCCTTGAAGCGCTTTACTTGTACCTTTTTTGTATAATAATAATAATAAATTAAACCGGCAGATAAATGGGGAGGAGTTGTATTAATGGATAGGGATAAATATATTATGGAAATCAATTGGGAGATATAAATACATATAAAATGATGGAAAAGACTCCCCAAAATGAGATTTAAAAAAAAAAAAAAATAGAATATGAGCAATATCTAGATAGAGGGTTAATCAAGGGAATCCTGACTCAGTCGGCATATTCATTCCTTAAAGGGACACTCCAGGCACCTAGACCACTTCTGCCCATTGGAGTGGTGTGGGTGCCAACTCCCACTACCCTTAACCCTGCAAGCGTAATTATTGAAGTTTTCATAAACTGCAATATTTACATTGCAGGGTTAAGTCCTCCTCTACTGGCTGTCTACTAGACAGCCACTAGAGGACACTTGTGTGTTCATAGGACCTCCAGCGTCGCCAAAATCCCCATAGGAAAGCATTGAAAGCATTATTCAATGCTTTCCTATGGGGAGGTCTAATGTGTGTGCGCGGTAATTGAGGAGAGAAGGCGGAGCCTGACCCAGCGCCGAGGGACATCAGCGCTGGACTCCTGTAAGTCACTGAAGGGGGTTTAACCCATTCAGCAACATGGGATGGGGGGTGGGAGGGAGAGGGGCACTAGAGGGTACTGCAGTGCCAGGAAAACAAATGTGTGTTCATAGAAATGGAGAATCCCTTTAATGTCAAATTATGTGTGTTCATAGGAATGGAGAATCCCATTAATGTCAAATTATGTGTGTTCATAGGAATGGAGAATCCCATTAATGTCAAATTATGTGTGTTCATAGGAATGGAGAATCCCTTTAATGTCAAATTATGTGTGTTCATAGAAATGGAGAATCCCATTAATGTCAAATTCCCCAAAATACCAGTTATGTATATACTACCAAAATTACATAAAGATGCACCTAACCCCCAGGGAGACCTATAGTCTCCGGTGTTGGATCCCTTTTATCAAATTTATCAAAATACGTGGATACACACCTTCAACTGATAGTAAAGATGAGTATAGTTTACCTTAAAGACTTTATGGGCGTATTACAAATGCTTACAGATTTTAAATGGGAGAATAACTTTTTACTTGCCACTTGTGACATAACTAGCCTCTATACATGTGTAGATCTCAGGCTAGGATGTGAGGCTACGTTTTTTTTTTTTTGGAAACCCCTGCACTGTACCCTACAGACGAAGTGGATTTTATTATGGAGGAAATTTTTTTTATAACTTTTTTTATGGTTCGAGGGGAACAATTTTTACAGTGTAGAGGGGACTTCTATGGGGACTAGCTTTGCACCCAGCTATGCTAATTTATTTGTCACATTGGGAACATTATTTTGTTTTCTCCAATCATGGCTGGAGTGCGAACCTGGTTATGATAGGGGGATGAGCTTTCTCTTTTAGATTTTTTTAAATTTTTAAATTCAAATCAGTGGAATATATTTATCTAACCCAAGAAATCAGTAGAGCGAAAATATTTTTTTTAAATCTAGAGATAAATATAAAAGATAATAAAATTAATACATGTACTTTCCTCAAAAAAAGTGCATGTAAACATCCACAAAGAAAGCTGTCGGGGCGTGGCCTGGACGAGCATGGTGCAGGACACGGACTAAACTCGCTCCGCACCCCGGGCCGAAAAACTAGCGATCACCAGCGGCATACAGGTGAAACATGGTCCGGACCAAGAGACCCAACACCCCAGGACCGGCGGGGACTGTTTCCCCGAGACGCAATACCGGCCCGATGGACGAGTTCATCGCCACGCCGTCGGACCTGAGAGGGCTGCGACCGGCTAACAAAATGGCGCCTGCATCGCCGGGCTCGGAGAGTGCAGGTGAAACCTCTGAAGCAGGTACCCAATTCAGTGAACTGGCCCAGATACAAGCCGAGCTTACCCAGATCTCGGCGAAAATGCTCACGAAGGCAGATACAAGCACAATAGCTCAGGAGCTGCGGGCAGCACTGCGAGAGGAGCTGGTAGGCCTGAGGTCAGATCTCACTGCCCTAGAGCAGAGGGTGGATGAGGTGGAAACAGCAGCGCAGGGCTGTGAAGACCAACACAGGGCAACTGAAGTTGCAGTAACCAGGCAGGGTAACCTCTTGATCACCCTACGCAGGCAGGTGGAGGATTTGGAAAATAGAAGTAGGCGTAAGAATATCAGAATACGCGGCATGCCAGAAACCGAAACAGAGGAAGAACCCCTCCACGCATGTCTGTGCGCCTTATTTACACAGATTTTGGGGGAAGCTGCACCTGAAGAAATCCACATGGATCGCGCACATAGAGCACTGGGGCCGGCGAGAAGAGATGGCAGCCCCAGAGATGTAATCTGCTGTATGACCCTGCAGGACCAAAGGGACATGATCATGGCGGCGGCTAGGGATGGGCCCTCCATTCTGTTCCGTGGAGGGGAAATATCCCTGTACCAGGACCTATCAAGTCTAACACTGGACGCCAGGCGAGCGCTGCGCCCAGTAACGGGTATGCTCAGAGACAAAAGGATCCCGTATCGCTGGGGCTTCCCCTTCAGCCTCCAAGCAAAACACGGCAACACATGGATCACGGCCCGCTGGCCAGAAGAGGTACCACGCATGATGAGGACCCTTAACCTGCCACCGGTGAGAGTGCGCAACTGGATCCTGGACGAAGCTATAGCGGCACGTAGAGACCCACTGAATCCCTCCAACCCGGCGGTCCCACCAATAGCACGGGCCACCCGGCCACTCCGCAGAGGGGGCCCAAACGGCGCAGAAGAATGACACTCTAGCAGCCGGTCCGGGCCGACAAGAGTCGGGTAAGGCGGGGGGGGGGGAAATGACTGGGCACGGAGCTGATAGCGCACATGCAGGGACAACTGGCTGTGGGAGGGCGATCCTGGGACTTTGTTGGGTTGAGGGCATGGGCGAGAAATGCGACCTACAAGGGTCATGGAGCCACTGTAGGGCCTGGGCCAGATTTGGGACCACAGGGACGACTCCCCTATTAAGGGCTCTGACCCCTGGGAGATGACTTGCGGGACATAGCCTGAGGTACACGGCGACTGGCCCAGTACTAAACAAAGAACTTTACCAGAGGCACAGGCGTGACAGTGGAAAGCCCTGGATGGCACATCACAAAACAGGCTTCTTTGGGAGGGCTGAGGGAGGGCACATTCTACGGCAAGTACCCACGCTGGGTCTCGGGCGCAGACATAGGCCGACCTCGGCCCCCTGGACCCTAGCCTGCAAGCAAAGGGGGAATAGACGGGGGTCAGCCCCCGAAGGGACAACCAGGTCATTCCCCGATAGGGGCCACAAGCATAATAACCATTGCAGTAGCAAATATCCGGAGAGGGGCCGGAGGGGGCGGGGAGCCGGAGGGGGGGTTCTGGCTACTGCTTGAGAACTGTATATAATTGTATGTGCCGACCTGGCCAATTCCCTGGCCCTCCGACATGCGCTCGAGACAGCCGGGGTAGGGGGAGGGGGGTGCGGGTGAAATCCCTGGAAGCACCGGGATAAACACTGTACGGGGTGTGTGGGGAATCGCAATAAGGTGGGGGACTAATGTACACTAGGCGCTTGCGACTGACGTACAGCCCCCCCCCCCAGGACTGACAGCAAGACGGGCGATAGCTACTGCCCTTGCCTGACTCTTACACACTAGACGTAAAAGTCTACTCCCACAGCGCTCTTAGGGTTGCAGATGACATCATGATGGAGGTGGCACCACCCTCCGGCGCCCCCGCGCTACTATCTAGACCAGACAGGGGAGCTCGACGCTCTGCTCCTCTCCACCCTACTCCCGGACAGGCGGAACCATCCCGTCCCGACTACTGACCTATGCCCCGGGGTGACCATACTGACTCCCCCCGAGACACGCTGATGGGGGATGCAGCCTCCCCCTCCCCTGGCCCCGACCAGACGCCTGAACAGGGAGCGATACCCACAGACAGGGATCCCATGAGACCGCAAACCATGAGGAGACAGCCCAGGCGCCCGGCATAACTGAGCCCCGTTTCCCTTATGCCTCCATACGCACTCTGCTTGCCTCGGCCTGGGGGCGGAAAGGAGAAGTGAACGGTTTAACTACTGTAGTTCCTTGGATACACTTGACAACACGGGACACGGATATAATTGGCGCCCTGCTGGTGCTCCAAGGGTCTCGACCCCAGTGACAGACACCACTGTGAATTTGGTGCGGGGGGTGTGGACCACCATTTAGAGGTGCCCCACACTCCACCCTTACCTTAGGTGTACAGTCTCCACAGTTACATTACAACACACCCATCCACATACATACAGACCTCTCACGCTTTTTATCCCCTTCCCCGCCCTCCTCCGTCCTATCATTCCAGCTCTCTCCCCCTATTTTTCCCCATTCCCAGAGACCATGGGCTCAAGGTACGATCCCGCCCCTCTTCGTCTCTGGTCAAACAATGTCCGGGGGTTGAATGTGCCAGAACGTAGGTCACACCTCTTGCGTTCCTTGGGGGCCGCGAGAACGTCCATCGCATTTCTGCAGGAGACTCACTTCCGAGGGGACTCAGCTCCGACACTTAAGGACGCAGATTTCCCCCAAGGATACTTCGCCAATCACCCGACCGCCAAGAAAGCTGGGGTAGCAATATTGTTTGCCCGTACGGTACCGTTCGAATGTAAGGACACACAGACCGATGAAGCAGGCCGGTTCCTCTTCCTCAAGGGCACTATAGCAGGTACCACCTACACGCTAGCCACCATCTATGCCCCAAACGTCCGACAGCATAAATTCCTGAGGGGGATCCTCCGTAAATTGGAAAGGTTCCGGGAAGGACTGCTGATCGTAGCAGGCGACCTGAATCTGGCCCTGGATCCACGAATGGACACATCCCGGGGGATTAGTTCGGTTCCGGCCCACTGTGTGCAGTCGGTCCGGACAGACCTACACGGCGCTGGTCTGGCAGACTGCTGGAGGGTCCTTCATCCAACTGAAAGGGACTACTCTTATTTCTCTGCGGTACATAAGCACTATAGCAGGCTAGACTATATCCTCATAGCTCAGGAGTTCTTACCTTTACTTCTCAGTTCGGAGATTGGACTGCAGGGCTGGTCGGACCATTCTCCCGTTTTGGCAAGCATCAAGTCCCCGTTATTCCGACCCAGAGACAGACAATGGAGGATGAACGAGTCAATTCTTAACGATGGGCCCACGGTGGCGGACATCCGAGCGGCGCTAGTCACATACTTTGAAGAGAACGACACTCCTGAAGTGTCGGCTTTGACGATCTGGGAGGCACACAAATGCGCTATCCGGGGACACCTAATCAAAGTGTGTACGAGAAGAATGAAGGAGCAGCAAAGACGCACGGATGAACTGCTGGATCGGATAGCGGCCCTTGAGGGTCTTCATAAAGCCACACAATCGGATGATAGTTACAAAGAGCTGTTGGAGAACAGGAAGCAGTTGCGCGATATCTTGCACCAAAAACTGCAGTATACGATCCGAAAATCCCAACGCTTCTTCTACGAATACTCGGGTAAATGCGGGCGGCTACTGGCTAGGACTCTACAAAAACAACGGAGGATGTGCTATATCACTAAAATCAAGCCCAAGGACCAACAGGTGACGCAACTGCCAGAGAAAATTACGGAGACATTCAGGGAGTTCTATGAAGACCTCTACAACCTCCCTACGGAACAGTCGGAAGGAGCAGGACTTCGCAAAGACAGGCGGATCGCAGACTACCTTCAACAACACATCACTAACTCACTAAGCCGAGAGGCGGCGGAGGAACTGGAGGCCGCTATAACACTAGAAGAATTACAAATTACACTGAAAGGCTCGAAACTGAACAAAGCGCCTGGCCCAGACGGTTTGCCGGTCCGATACCTGAAGGAGTTCAGCGAAGTGCTCCTACCACGGCTTCTACTAGGTCTCAACTCGATACTGGATGGAGGAACATTTCCGAGAGACTCCTTGCTGGCAACAATAACGGTTATCCCTAAAGAGGGCAAGGACCCGGCCATCTGCGCAAGCTACAGGCCGATCTCGCTATTGAACGCAGATCTGAAGCTGTTCACGAAGGTAATAGCAACACGCATAGGAAGTGTACTGCCGGAACTGGTGCACCCGGACCAAGTGGGTTTTGTCCCAGGACGGGAGGCGAGGGATAACACCACACGCGCACTGAACGTCATCCATGCGGCGAAACAAGCGACACAGAAAATCCTTCTCCTGTCCACGGATGCAGAGAAGGCTTTTGACCGCGTAGACTGGAGATTTCTGGCGGCAACGCTACGAGCCATGGGATTTGGCCCCCGTCTGATGGCATGGATCACATCCCTGTACACTACGCCTACAGCTAGAGTCCGAATTAACGGAGCACTCTCCGCACCGGTACACATCCGCAATGGTACCCGACAGGGGTGCCCTCTCTCCCCCCTCCTGTTTGCCCTCTCCCTGGAACCATTCCTGGGGGCGGTCAGGCGGGACGGGGGAATAGAGGGCTTCGTCCTACGGGGTGAGGTACATAAGGTGGCCGCATACGCGGATGACATGCTATTTTTCATCGGCAATCCGCTAGTCTCACTCCCGAATCTTCTGAAGGCCTTCAAGGACTATGGTCAGCTATCAAACCTAAAGTTGAATACGGACAAATCGGAAGCACTCTAACTCTGAGCGCGGACTCCATCGCCCACCTGCGAACACAGTTCGCTTTCACATGGTGCCAAACCAGGCTTAAATACCTGGGGATTTGGCTCCCCACAGATCTCTCCCAGCTTTATGACTACAACTTCGCCCCAATGGCTCAAACCCTGAAAAACGATCTAGCTCGATGGGCGGGCCTGTGCATTACATGGTTTGGGAGGTTAAACGCAATTAAAATGAATCTCCTCCCCCGCCTCCTATATCTGTTCCAAACCATCCCGATCAACCTCCCGACATCCTTTTTCCACGAAATTGACAAGACAATTTCTAGGTTCGTTTGGCAAGCTAAAGCTCCAAGGCTGAGCAAAGTACACCTTCGCAGACCAAAAGCACAAGGCGGGGTGGGGCTCCCATACATACGGGATTACCATAGAGCTACACATCTGCACCGTATTGTCGACTGGCATACCCCCAGAGATGGGAAGTCATGGATAACCATGGAGACTACACAAATGGAGGGTTCGCTCCCGGCTGTGGTATGGTTAGATAACCAACACGGAGTTCAGCGAGCCAGGAACCATCCGCTCATCGGTGCAACGTTGAAGGTTTGGTACTCTGTGCGGACTAAGCTCTCACTAACCACCACACCAGGACCACTGACACCGATAACACACAACCCCGCTGTGGCCGGGGGCCTCAAGCCCCAAGACATCAGTGCATTTACGGAGGAAAAATGGTCATATATACAACAATGGTGCTCAGCGGACTCGCTGAAACCACTGCCAGAACTCATACGAGAAGGAGCCCCACGAGGCATAGACAGATTCAGATACTTCCAGATTAAGTCATACTATCAATCGCATGCTGGACGCCGCCTGTTCCACAGGACTATGACTGAGTTTGAGAAAACATGCACAGCCGGGAGACCGCTACACCGAGGAGTATCTACCATGTACGCTCTGCTACAAACCTCTACCCAACATACACCCCTGAAACACCTGGCGAGATGGGAGGAGGCCACGGGTACGGTACTCACCGACTCCCAATGGGACAAGATCCACATACTGACACATCAGGGCACATTGAGTTCTAAACACCAAGAACTGAACTACAAACTGCTAACGGGATGGTATAGAACGCCAGAGCGCCTACATCGAATGCTACCGGAAATCCCGGACTTATGCTGGAGATGTGAGTCAGAGGCCGGCTCGGACCTCCATATTTGGTGGTCCTGCGGACACATCGCCCCATTCTGGAAACAAATTCATACGCAGATAAAAAACATTGCGGACCCGGACCTCCCTTTCCAGCCAATGCAAATGCTCCTCCATCACACTGATATGCCTCTCTCGAGGTATAAAAAATCACTCACGAAACAACTCCTCAATGCAGCTAAATTGCTTATCCCGATCCGCTGGTGGACCACGCAAATCCCCACGCTGCAACAATGGATGGAGAAAGTAGAGGAGATCCATGGCATGGAACAGCTTACAGCCTCACTGCGGGGAACAACGGAACGCTATCTACAGACCTGGACTCCCTGGCTCGAATTTATCTCGGGCAGAACGGCGTAGACACCAGGACTATGGAGCTTCTGCATGACCCCCACAGGAACCACAAGTAAATACATATAGTGACGTGGCAGCGACCCCCAGAGGAACGGCGGACACACTCTTGGCAGAGGAGACTCTGAGGAGGACGGGTTGTGCCGACACAGCGAGCACGACACTAAGGAGGTCTCTCTTCACCCCCCCTACCCTTTAACCCTCTCCCACTTTCCCAACCCATGCTCTCTCTCACATTCGGGCCACACAGGGAACGGATACAAGCACACGCTCGCCCCCCCATCTTTCCTCTGTCCCCTACACACACAAATACACATTTATCTAGACACAAACCATCCGGGAAGCATCTCCCGACAGATCATTAGACGACGAATCAGGGAGGGAGCGAGACGGGGGTAAAATCCTAGTCAGACAAGCAGAGGCAACAGAGCTGCGATAAAGAGGCATAATGGACCACAGGACACTGTGACCCAGCTATCTAAACACTGACGTACCAGACCTGGGAAAGGCGGCCACCTAACGCACCTCAAAGGCCCAGACTAAGTGAGCGGGAAAACTTTGCTGTTCCAGATCCCCATAAAACACGACGTAGAACACGCACAAACAGAGATGGGGGACTTCTCACGAGGACCCCAACCTTGGGGTAACCACTGGCTACTGCCCTAACAGATTCGAACACATAGGTAGAGACCTACCGACCCCTACCCGCTTCATGACGCGTAGTTAGACAAGAAGCAAGGACAAACAGCTGAAAGCTGAATAACATGTGGGACAGGGGGGTTAGGATGGGGAAGTGTAAACAGAAAAGGGTGGACAGCCCACACTAGCCTTCAGCACTAAGGTGCAAGCGTAGTGAGACAAACGAGGGTGACCGCAGAGATGACCCTGGTTCACCTGTCCTTCCAAGGTACAGATATTCCTACATGAATGCATAATAAAAAGGACTTGTTCACATGTTTTACTGTTGAACCGCATTGCCTGTCTAGTGCAGACTGTTATGTTTATCGAGACAACCTCGAATACTTTAACTTCCTGTTTAATTCGCTAACAGCACTGTTGTCGATGTTACCTTTCAAACTGGAAATAAAACAATGATTGACAAAAAAAAAAAAAGAAAGTACACTGGGGCAGGATAAATCCAAAAATCCTGTATCAGTTGAGAATACCCTAGTGTTTGTGTTAGGCCTGATAACGCTATCGCTGCTTGTTTGAACCTATGTTTGTACTTCTGGAAGATCTACCTGTCAGATATGTAATGTTTATTATTACTGTTCCTTATACGGATATACTTTTGTGTACCTGACTGTTACTTGTTTTCCATTGTTCAAAAGACAAAATTACAAAATAAAGATTGTCCAAAAAAAAAAAAAAAAGAAAGCTGTCATTTTAAACCATGGTTGGATAATATCCCTAGAGGTCAGTTTCCTCGTTTAAGACGCAATTGTACAGAACTTGATTCATTTAATAACCAGGCAGAATTTCTTTAAAAAAAATAAATAAAAAATATCAGTTTTTAGATCGTGGTTATCATTTAGACCAGTTAGATGGAGAAATCCAAAACATTTGATAATCAGATAGAGAATCCCTACTTGTATATAAATCCAAAAGTATAAGAGGAGAAAACGAAACAAGACCTCTGATTTATAATTACAGTAAGGATCAAAGACAACTTAAAAATATCTTGGATAAAAACTGGCATATCTTACAACAAGACCGAGAAATCTAGTAGAGAAATCAAAAATAGTCTTTAGAGGAGATACAAATCTTAGACAGATACTTATCTCAAGGTATGTAGATGCACCAAATAAGAAAAATAACGTATTTAACACATATAGAAATACCAATAAAGGTGTTTTTTTGTGGTGACTGCATGGGATGTAAAAACAAACAAAAACATTGATACTTTTAAACCCCGGATGGGATCAAAACCGTACAGTATTGACTTTTTTATCACGTCATTCCAAAAATGTGGTATATTTGCTCATGTGCCCTTGTGGATTATAATATGTTGGTAAGACATCAAGATGCTTAAAAACGAGGGTATGTGAGCATATTTATAACATAAAGAGAGGTTTTTTAAATTATAACGTTTCTCTTCATTTTTTTTTTTTAAATGTTCATGGTGGAGACCCTACAGGACTATAATTTTGTGGCATACAGTTGATTAAAAATAACTGGAGAGGTGGGAACCTGGAGTCCACGTTGAGCCGCTGGAGATGAGGTGGAAATTTTGTTTAAACACCTTGTCTCCCAGTGGGCTCAACGTGGACTTTGAAATGTCAGCACTTATCTGAATATTCCATTAAATATTTTGATAATTTATTTCTACATTTTTAGTTTTGTATATTTTTTATAGTAAATATGTTTTTTTATATATTACATATAGTTGATATACATATTTTTGGTACATACATTTTTTTTATTCCAATATATTTATATATATTTTATATGCAATTTGTATCAGATCCATCTATATCTATTTTTGGATCTGTTCTCCTTTGATTATAAATTTGAGTGTGCTGTATATGTTTTGAATTACATACTGGTTATGCTTTGTATGTTTTTTTCTTTTCGCTCATGTTATATTATATATATTGTTTTTAAAAACAAAAAGCATATATATATATATATATATATATATATATGCTTTTTGTTTTTAAGTCCTTCTACAGTCCTAGGTTATATAAATCAATTACGCCCGATACTATTATGGCGTTTCCTGGACCTCCGACATGTCCACTTCCTGCTAAACAGACGATTCCGTCATTACGTATCACGTCAGGACTTCATGACGTCACTACACAATGATGCACGAACGCGGAAGTGACTCCGGAACACCAGATGGCATGAAAATCAGTTTCCTGCATAGATGGTTTAAAAACGAGCACCGAGGGGAGACATATACACTTTGATAAAGACCGAATAGGTTGAAACATGTTAGTGTTACCGGACTTTCCGTTTTTTATTTACAGCCTGTGCTCCTGCTGTTTTTTGTATACCTGTTTTTATTCTGAAGTCAAATTTCTTACCTACCTTATATGATATAGTTTGATTCATACTTACTTGGAAAAGGAGGAGATTGCGGTGTCATGCTTATAACTTGAATAAGCTTATTATTCACCTGCTGATACAGCCAGAGCCTGCTTTCTAAGGCTCTGAAGATTGTGAGTGACCTATTACCTCTGTTATTGATCCATTTTATTGTAAACAGAATTATGCTATGTCTATTTTGTATACAATCTTTTACAGAATGATCAGGAGGTCTCACAGTACGAAGTATTAATCACTGTGTTTGTTGTACCCTCCTCACTGTGCTTGCGGTTACTGATTTATGTAGTGTCTTTTGAGTGTTTTTTAGACACTGGGGGTTGTTGCTATCTTGATATTCTAGTGCCAATTCCCGTCTATTATATCTTGTTTCAGGGTTAAACATTTTGTTTGTATATATATATATATATATATATATATATATATATATATATATATATATATATATATTTGTGTTCGGGGCAAATAGCCGTATATGGAGTAAGGTTCCAGCATAAGCGTAGGATACTATAAAGGGAGCAAGTCGGTTGTGGTGTGCCGAGACCGACGATACGGTAGGCCTGTAAATAAAGAGGGCCCACCAAGGAGTAAGTAAGTAAAGTAAATGGAAAGAAAAGAGAAAGTGTTGAAATGAGGAGTGGGTGGGAGGGTCATTCTGATGCTGACCTCAAGCGATATGAGTCAGGTAAGGGGTGTCCCTTATATAGGGGAGTGAATTAATTTAAGCCCCTCCCACAAATACAGGCCAAATGGCCTTAAAACTTGTGTTCGGGGCAAATAGCCGTATATGGAGTAAGGTTCCAGCATAAGCGTAGGATAGTATAAAGGGAGCAAGTCGGTTGTGGTGTGCCGAGACCGACGATACGGTAGGCCTGTAAATAAAGAGGGCAAAAAGAATAATCAAAGATTTAATACAGTCAACAATATATACAAATTAACCAGACATTTCCTTAAATGCATTACGGTATTTAATTCCTTGAAGGATTTTTGAAGGTAGGAATCTAGGACCGCAACTGGACACCATTTGTTGTGGGTAGGATAGTATGTTATCTCTACTGTTGGTGCGTGTTGACTCGTTTCGGAATGTGGTAGAGCCAATAGGTAATGATATATGTGTTTACATACGTGGGATCGTTGAAGACAATGATCTGTCTGAGTGGTGGTTATGGTAGTGGATTCTCTGGCCTGAGAAAGGCATAAAAGGCAGTGTGCATGGCTGGTAATGGCCAACTTGGTAGTATAATTGAATGGTTGTAGCTCTAATAGGTCCGATAAGGATGGAAAAGTTGGATGGCTATTGGTAATATCTGAGAGGAACGTGGGGGATGGATTCCTGAAAACCTCTGAGTATATTCTTGTCTGGTATGATAGCATGAAGTTATGGTAGTTTTGGCCATAGGTTATCCTGTGTTGTTGAATGCCTGTAAAATATATAATTAATGGTGTGTGAGATGGTTTTAGTTTAAGGTGGCAAAAAATGAAGCAAAACCTAGGAGAAATGTTATGACACAGGTTGAGCTATGTCGTGTTCCAATGAGATTCTTTAAAGCCAGGTGAATAGGTGCGTTCTACAAGTATGGGATGAAAGTGCTAGGTGGGATAGTGCATGCAATGCTGCATGAGTATGTCTAGTCCATGATTTTGTCTCTGGAACGAAAGAGTGGCCGTGACTGTATGGGTGGCTGTAGGAAGCGTATGATGAACGTGCCTGGAATATAAATGAGACAATTGTCGGCAAGGATGTATACCCCCGCCTGGTACATGAAAGTAAAAGAAATGTGGTAAGTGGCCAACCAAGTGAGTTCCCCAGCAATACCATGATCGTATGGATGATGAGTGGCATTTGTTGATGATATGACATGTGCTTAGTTGTCTGAGTAACAACGGATTGATGACCCTGACCATGATTTACCCCATGCCACAGCAGCTGCTTTTAGCGGGGAAAGGATTGCCCATTTTATGCCATGTAAGTGCCAGTTTGTAGGGTAGATGGTAGCCGTTTACTGTGTTGATGATATTGGTCTTACTTAACGAAGCTTCAACCCCTGCTTGAGTGATAGCTGTAAAGGTAGATCAATGGTGTGTATAGTAAGGAAACTCCTCGGAGGGTATGAGGGAGTTGAGACTTGGGGTAGCGAAGGTGTGTGGTGCCAATAAGTCTATGGTTAGTCTTTGTTTAAGGGAAGATTCCCTTGTGACAATACCAATGCGTTTGTGTTTGGTGCCATGCTGTAAATGGTGGAGATTGGAAAACCCAAGTAAAAACCCCTCTGCAAATCTTGGCTATGAGTGTGTTTACAGCCGACGGTTCTGTTGTGCTGACTGTAAGTGAGGGCATGCTATATTCCTTGAGAGTTTATTTATGATACCTGTATGGGAGCCCTTTGAAGCTCCAGAGCCTTAGTAACTCTACTACAAGTCTGGAAGGGTGATGAGTCAGTAGTGTTGAAAATGCATTGGTGTGTACAGATGATGAGTACGTTATTTGTAAGTTGTATTGGGACACATGGTTTGTCATGTGCCCTGAATGATTTGAACATGTATGCAACATTCTATATGCAATGCAACTACTAATACCAATTGTCTCTGGTAGTTCAGAGGTGCTGGTACCTGGAGCCTGAGAGTGCTCGCCCATTTGTTTGGGAGAAAATCCCTTCTGTATGGGTACCTGCACAAATAAGCATCTCTACATATTCCAAATGCCAACACAACCACGGGATGGTCAGTTCCCGATTTACCTAGAATCCCTGGGTCTGACCATCATAGATACATCATCATACATATATATGCCTTGTTTCCCCAATGTGCCGGGATCATATGTGCAGGGTTAACGTCTTGTACCAAGTAACCGAGTTTCGGTTGGTGCTGGTTGTACAGTAGCGTGAGGCCCAGCCTTGTGAGGGCTGTGACTGACTCGAAATTGCCAGTCTGTCGTAAATTTTTTGGCTCATGAGTTTATGAGTGAGGCTAGCATGGCCTGGGTGTCACCTGAGTTGGTGTTGCTGGGCCTTCCCCTGCCTCCGTGTTGTCCGTTGATGTATGGAGGAGTTTGAATAACTCTGCTTTCCTTGCTGTGGCAGGGTAGGGGATTTGTCGCCTCCTTAGGTCGGAGCCACATCTCCTCTGCTTGAAGGTGTATCACTTCTAGCCGGGGTGCCAGGAAGAGGTGATTCTTCACCATCTTTTTGAGAAATACTTAAATAACAATAAAGATTGCAATTATTATTTGTACCCAGGGGTCTTGTACTGGCTTGCTAGCTAAGCCGTAAGGCGAAACGATTAGGCTTGGTGTTTTTTGGTGACTGGTGAGGCCCTGCTAGTTGCCAAGTGGCTTGAGAGGCTCTATCTATGCTTGGCGCGAGGGGATTTTTTGTGGCCACCGAACATTGTGGCAGGATGTTGGCCTCTCGGTGACAGTAACCAGAAAATAGGAAGGGGAGTGACAGGTGAGGCCCTCTCTATGATACAATGCGAGGCGGCTAGCTCACGAGTGGCCCGAGGGGTGTATGCCTCCGAGTGTGAGGCGGGGTGTTGGCCTCGCGGGACCACTAACCGAAGCGTAAAGCAGAGAAACAGGTGGTAATACCTATTGGGCCATAGAACCCTAATTGCCAGTACATTACTACTATTCCAGGGAAGGTAAGAGATCAAGGTGTATCACTTCTAGCCGTGGTGCTAGGAAGAGGTGATTCTTTACCATCTTTTTGAGAAATACTTAAATAACAATAAAGATTGCAATTATATATTTGTACCCAGGGGTCTTGTACCGGCTTGCTAGCTAAGCCGTAAGGCGAAACGATTAGGCTTGGTGGTTTTTTTGGGTGACTGGTGAGGCCCTGCTAGTTGCCAAGTGGCTTGAGAGGCTCTATCTATGCTTGGCGCGAGGGGATTTTGTGTGGCCACCAAACGTTGTGGCAGGATGTTGGCCTCTCGGTGACAGTAACCAGAAAAATAGGAAGGGGAGTGACACAATGATACAATGCGAGGCGGCTAGCTCACGAGTGGCTCGAGGGGTGTATGCCTCCGAGTGTGAGGCGGGGTGTTGGCCTCGCGGGACCACTAACCGAAGCATAATGCAGAGAAAAAAGGGGGTAATACCTATTGGGCCCTAGAACCCTAATTGCCGGTACACTATTACTATTCCAGGGAAGGTAAGAGATGGATAACTACGTGAGCAGGTGTACGTACCTGGTAGTATGGTATTGAACCTGACAATCCTTATAGGTTTTTTAGTAGTAACTGTAACCTGAATGGATAAAATCGTATGGCATAAGGAAATATGGCATAGACCAAGCTTATCTTAAAACATACAGTATATGTGAAAGTAAAGTGCCGTGATATGTAAATATTAAACATCATATCCATACTGGTTAAATATGTATCAATCTTAACCCATTAAGTGCCGTATGTATGTGAACCACATTACCAGTTACGTATATACAGATGCGGGTGCTACTGTGTAATAATATGTGTATTTATAACAGATATTGATATACTGCTTGCTATGTGAATTGTTGTATGCCTTATTGAATGGCAAGTGAACATGGAATTGCAAAATGCAAGTGCACTAGAGATCTGCCGAGTTTTCTATAGGTGGCAGTGTAGTTGATACTGATTGGTATGTGAAATGTTGTTTGTCTGTTGACCTATAGGGGTCAGTGTTTTGGTGTTTGTAAAACCCCATGAAAATTGTCAATGTACTTGACAGACCTGTAGGTGGCAGTGTTGATAGAACCACTGTTAGTCTTAATGTGAAATGTAAATTATTGTGAATTAAACCTGAAGTTGAGCCCGTGTTGGAGTTTAATTCATGGTTTATGGTTATGTTTAAAACAATCTTATGTGTAATTTATATTGGCTGGTAATTGTATATGACATGTGAAGACAGTTTTGCTGTTGACCAGTAGGGGTCAGAAATGCTGATTGTATGGTAAAATACCCTTTAACCCCTGAAGGATACATGACATGTGTGACATATCATTTATTCCAGAGTTTGGTCCTTAAGGGGTTAATCCAAATGCAAGGTTAACATGAGATTTTGAGAGTGACCTGTAGGAGTCATTGTGGTTTATGTGAAACATTGTTTGTGAGCTATGCCCCAGCATTATAGTTGTGAAACAAACAGTGCCCGTTTGACAATATACAATAAGTGAACATAATAGCTTAATAACAGTCATTGTAACAAACCAAAGTTCTGTTCATGGGTTGTAAACACACGAAACGTGTGTGTAGTACAATAGTAAATGCATGAACTAGTACCCGTTTGGTAGAAAATTGCACGAACCGTAAGCCTGGTATGTCAGGGAAACAAAACGAAACGAGCAGTGAGATTCGAAATGCACGCACAGAATTGCCTAGTATGTTTAGACCATTGAAACAGAATGTGTTCCCGTTTGGGAGTGTGCTAATGCTCGAAATGAGCCAGAGACAGATATAAACAAGTGAGTTTAAACGAATGATATGCATGAACATCCAATGGTTTTAGGACAGATTTAGACAAAATGCAGCCGTAAAGTGAGGACCTGACCCATGCATGGTGCCGTGGGACTGATGCCTGGCGTAACGGGTAGGTCGACTTACAGTTTGTGAGTCACTTGGACACCATCCACAGCAATAGATTGAAGAAAGAAGGTGGTAGGCCGGAAAAGCCTGTGGCTGAATTCCTGACACAGCTCAGCTTAGAAAACCTCATGGAGTAATCAGGTAAAATGGCGTCTGGATGACCCGGAAGTGGAAATCATTCTGATGCTGACCTCAAGCGATATGAGTCAGGTAAGGGGTGTCCCTTATATAGGGGAGTGAATTAATTTAAGCCCCTCCCACAAATACAGGCCAAATGGCCTTAAAACACATATATATATATATCTATATCTATATATCCCCTATGTGTGTCTCTTTCTACCTCCAGCCCCTCTGTGTGCCCCTTTTTCTCCCCCCAGTCCCTCTGAATGTTTCATTCTCCCCCTCACTGCTCCTCTGTGTCCAGGCCTCCTCTCCTTTCCAGTCTCTCTCTTCCCCCTCTGTCTCTGTTTTCCCTCCCCCTGTGTCTCTCTCTCTCCCCCCCTGTTTCTTTCTCCCCCTCCCCTGTGTGTCTCTCTCCCCCTGTACCTCTTTCGCCCCCTCCCAATGTGTATCTCTCTCCTTTCTCCCCCTCCCTCTAATTCTCTCTTCTCCTTTGTCTCTTTCTCCTCTCTTTTCCCTATATCGCTCTTCCCCTGTGTCTCTTTCTCCAGCCTCCCAGAAATTTCCCAGTATCCTGTCCTGGTGGGCCCTTGTTATCCACTAGTTCTTTCACCTCCTAGAACAGTGCTCTTGTTGTTTTTTCTTTTTTTCTAAAAAATTAAAAAAAAAAGGAGTACAGTCTTTCTCTGACATTCCATATGAAGCCTACAATAATAATATGTATTGTTTGTTTGAATATTTTCATAAAATGTCTACGTGAGCTTGTTTGAAACCCTATGCAGTACAAAAATAAAGAATTATAAAAAACAAACAAAAACTTACATTGAAGCAATTTTGCCCCAAAAAGAAAATGTTTTATTTATAGGCACATTGATCACAAAGCTAATTTTTTGTGCCTTCTTTTGGATCAACAGCAAAAACATGTGTGAGGAAGGCTGAACTTAATGGACGCAAGTCTCTTTTCAGCAATGTAACTATGTAATTATGTAACTGTTTAACTATGTAACTATGATCAACAACCGGCAAAAGTGGTTCTAGTGTCTATAGTTTTTTTCTGCAGGCATTTCAATGTAAATGCTACCTTTTCACAGAAAAGGCAGTGTTTACACTGCTGTCTAGTAACAACTTTAGTGGCAATCACGCAGTGTGCAGCACTGTCCAGTGTTTCCATGCAGAGCATATGCACCAGTGCAGGTCTATGTGCGTGGAAATGTCCCCAAAGATAGACAAGCGCACCATCGCAGAGAGTGCCTGTAATCAATGTTCTGAGAATACCAAAAATCCATGCGCTAGAAGGCTGGTCGTATGTCCGGGCCATTGTTAAAAAGCTCAGTGGTAAAGTGAAGACTACCTGTATATGGAATGTGACCTCACTCCGGTCTTGGCATCAGTAAACGACCGAAGAGGGAGCAGAGCAGGAAGATTACGCAAGCCCCACTCGACCCCAGTGAATGCCAATCCACTCCAGCTCCCTCAAAAGGTAGGAGGGCTGGGTGGACTTAAATTAAAAAATATTTTCTAAGTGTGTGTGTGTGTGAGAGAGAGAGAGTGTCTGCCTGTCCGTGAGTGTGTCTGTCTTTCTGAGAGTGTATCAGTCAGTGTGTGTCAGATCAGTGAGAGTGTTTGTTTCGGTGACTGGCCCCCCTCCAATCGCATGGGAAAGGTTATTTTACTCACCTTTTTAATCAGCTGTGCAGGTCTCCACCTCCATGGCTCAGGTAATCAATCTTGATGATCTCAGTCAGGCCAATGCTTTCCCATCGTAAAGCATTTTAGCTGGCTCTTAGATTCCAAATAGATTTGTCAATCCCTGGTTTATTGACTTTGTAACTACAAAGTTGAAAAAATGGCAATACGCTTCCTCATTGAAGCATCCAACACTTTGGGTTTAAACAGTTTGTAAATGGTTTAACCTGTAAGGAAAGATACTGCCCAGGATTTGCAGGCACCATAAAAAAACTTAAAGGACCACTCTAGGCACCCAGCTTCAGCTTAATGAAGTGGTCTGGGTGCCTGGTCCAGCTAGGGTTAACCCCCTTTTTTTTTTTTTATAAACATAGCAGTTTCAGAGAAACTGCTATGTTTATAATAGGGTTAATCCAGCCTCTAGCGGCTGTCTCTTGACAGCAGTGAAAATCACAGTGAGAAGACGCCAGCGTCCATTGGAAAGCATAGTAAATGCTTTCCTATGAGACTGGCTGAATGCGCGTGCAGCTCCTGCCGCGCATGCGCATTCAGCCAAGGAGGAGGAGAGCTCCCCGCCCGGCGCTGGAGAAAGAGGTAAGTTTAACCCCTTCCTCTCCATCCAGCCCGGCGGGAGGGGGATCCTGAGGGTGGGGGCACCCTCAGGGCACTATAGTGCCAGGAAAACGAGTATGTTTTCCTGGCACTATAGTGGTCCTTTAACTGAAATGAAGATGTTATGGTTCCCAGAGTATTCCTTTACCAACAGGGGTCACTTGAAATGCAGACAAATGCCTGATCCTTTTTTGTTATCAGAGATAGTGATTCCTACGTCTGCACTTTGGATTTATTCACCAAACAGTGAGTTGACAATTTGAACAAAAATTAAAGCAATTTTCCAACTCCGCTATCAGCTAAAACTCAGTGTGTCCACGAATAACCCCCAATTTTTTTTATTATCACACGTCATTCTGCGTTGCTGCCAAATATAATTTTATTTTTTAATAAATTATTCCAAAAATGTTTTCTCTTTGTGCTTGCATTGCCAGTGCTTGTCAGAACACCTCGATTTGGAAGATTCCTCAGCACGGAGTACTTTAATGATAACTATTTCTACTTTTCTCTGAAATGTTGATCCCAATTGAAGTTAATAACTTTTATACAGGTCACAGTAACCTCGAGTCTAGCTCTTTCACTGCATTCTAATGTACGCGCATTCAGGAAACATAACCACATGTACAGTTCATTGTGCAAAAACCCTTTTATCAGATAACAAGCCAGAACATGCATTCACAGTATCACTTAAAAAGGAGTACGTCGCTGCACACTAATCCTGAATGAGTGGTTTGTCTAATTGCACAATGTTAAAATCTTCCTGTACTAATAAACACATTGGCCTCCTACAACGATTTGTAATCCCCTTCCTCTGGCCATCTAATCCTGGAAGCCAGACAAAAGTATTTTAGTCCTTAAAAAACTGCATTTACAGCAATCCTTAATGCTCGAACATTTTTTCTACCCTTTAAAAAAAATGATTTGGTCTATTGGTCTACTAACTACCAATAGTCAGAGCCAACATGCAAAGTGTATCTTACAAAGGGGATAGTATGTAGGTTCTTAGAGTGGCCAGACTGTACTTAAATTCAGGTAGAGAATGGTCAGAGACAGGTCAAGGTCAAAGGGAACCAGAAATCAGGGGAATGAAATAGAATATTCAAGGAAAATAGAGAACAGAGTAATCTGGATAAGCCAAAGTTAAAAGCATATAGACAATAGTAGTTATATATAATGCGCAGTTGGGACTGAAATAGAATCACAAAAGGGCATAGCACAAAGCCCTAACTACCTAATTATAGGCTGACTCATTATGTAGGTAGCCATGACCCAAAACATGTCTCCCAACATAAATGCAGCTTGATGTAATCGGCGCACACATTGCAACATAAATGGAGCAGAGCCACAGGTTCTGGCGTCCAGAATGCTGGGGAAACCCTTCAATGGCACAAGTGAGCAAAATTTCCAGGTAGTTTATCTCAGTGGAAAGAGGCAGGAATTGCCCGGAGCACCTGCCGTGCAAAGAATTCTTGTTGAGCTGCAATAGGATATCTGTGATTGGACGGCCACAGAAAGTCTGGGCGGGGTTAGAAGGGGAGGGGTTGCAAAGGCTGCAGACAAGAGATTTACCCCAGTGAAAAAAATTGTATAATAAAGAGCACTACTAAACAGTGATGTTAATTACTTTTTATTTAAGTAGTGGACTATCCATTTAAACATCAAACTGGTGTTTAGTCACTAATCCAGTAACTGAAGAAATTACATTGGGATTGCAAATTGCAGCCTAAAATAGCCAATGTATTTTTAACACAATCTGACTATTTTCCTAATTTTTGTAGCTCTTAATTCTCCACAAAATTTAGTAAATTAACCTCCATAAAAGATACAATATTTACACTTGTTCCAAAAGTAAAAATGCAGTATTCTATGTGTATAAAAATTTATATTATATATATTATTTTTTTCTATGTGCAATTATAATCACACAGTGAACTAATTAAATAATCAAAAAGCCAATTAACTAACGATGACAAGCTAGGTCTGACAAACTAATGAGTTCATTAATTAATAGCAAAGATGCAAGACTTGGCTTTAAAGCTTTGATTGATCCATCCATTAATGCTTTTGTACGTGACTGACTTGGTGAAAACAGTGTGCAATGATTTGAGCTCGGGTAGAAAGTGCTAAAAGAAGGCCGCAGGTGCACAGTAACTCTCATAAGTGTGCTGTCAGTCTTTTCACATCCGCTCGCCCCCCCTTCATCTCAACATTATAATCAGCAATATTTTTCGACTGATGCATTTTCATGTCCACAAACAAGCCCTACAAACTGTATTTGAAATGAATAACAGATTAAAGAGTAAGAGCAATTTTATCATTCAATAATTCTGTACAAATAAATATCTTAACGCGGATCTGTCCAATAAATATTTCTCTGTATAAATCAATTTAAAACTGTTATGGGCATGAGTGAATCTTCCTAATGCCCTTTTCTAAAATATTCTAATGCATTTGCCTATTCTCGTTTTATAACAATAGAACAATTTCCTACACACAATATTGGAGTTTAATGCACACGCATGAGTCTGTTAGTAATACCGTAATTTCTCTCCAAGACATTGTGTCCTGCAGGAAAGGTGAACTTGTTACAGAATATTGTCAGCAGTTACATTTTATTTTTATCTAATGGAGCTATGGTAACTTAACTTTAATTACTACTTGGCGAGTTTACATTAATTATACTTGGGGGTGGTGGCCTAGGAATTAAATCACAGTTTTTCAAGCACACAGCCATATATGTGATGGTTATCACAAAGACAAAACCAGAGATTTATTGTTTAACCCGTTATGGACGGAGGCAATTGTACAAGTTCTGTCCAAAAGAAACCCTAGAATTTGAGCTATGTGTCTGTTCAACCATAACTGACCTCTTTCATATTAAGTGCACCCACACATATTATATATCATTGTGCTCAGGAGACATAGGGATTTCATTTCACTTCAAATATGTTTAAATGAAACATAATTTAATATGCTAATTTACAAGTTCTGCACAACATCTTAACCCGTTTTTATGGCAGTAAAACGGTATTTAGGCATTCACATATTTGTATGCTGTAGTGTCCAACGAGTACAACACTGGCCCCACATGTACAGGATCAAAGTTTTTACACAATAAAATTTTGCAGATTGGCTTGCTGGGCCTATGTTGTCACTTTTATCACAATTGGAAGCCTGATTTAGTGGTTATATTTTTGGTTTGTTTTATTCGCACACATGAACTCCATTTTCACAGGACATTTTATAATCCTGATATGAGTTAGTGCAATAAAGCCTCAGTATTTTGATGTAAGATTGTCTCATGAACATAACAGTACCCCCATGTACCAGTTGTCCATGTTTTTTGGGAAAGTCACAGGGTCAAATATATTAGATGTCTATTTCAAAGTTGGAAATCTGACAAAGTGATTTTCTCTGTCTGAGAGAGTATAGCAGCCTGGGTTATAACATTTCCACCATTATAGCATACTATTTTCAAAAAAAGAACTGAACAGATTGTAAAAACATCAGAACAAGACAGAGGTAAATGTTCACATATGCTGTGCAGAAGCAAAGACTGATAACATTTGCTGTGCTGTGCAAAATGAATGACTGATAAAGCACAATATGTAGAAATGGTTTTATCTGTACTAGGCCCAGAGGAGGCGGGCTGAAAGCTAGCCGGATAGGAGGCATGTGTGGGTGTGGTGGGTGTGGTGGAAGTATGGGTGTGTGATTTAGCTAAGGAGTAGGGTGGGGTCATATAAATAGGTGACATTTTGTCTGCTACCTCAGCCATCTTAAATTTAACGGCAAGGAAACTAGTCCCCTGTGCTAGCCCGTAGTTACTTTGCTTACCTCACGGCCAGGAGCATGGATATTGAAGGCATCCTTGCTGCCCTTAGGGCTGAGGCCCTCCAGGACGGTGGCAGGCACCTGCAGGCCCAGCTGGCAAGGCTGCAGGGTGCCTCTGTGGTAGCTGCTCCCCCTCCCGGCAGCCATGGAGCTCCGCGCCGCCGGGCGCGTCCCCCCACCCGTTATAGCCCCTCACGGGAGGGCCGGGTGGGGGCCAGAAGTAGGAGCCCAGCTGCCGGTCCGCGGGCCGGTTCCCACGCGGCCGCGGCCGGCGCTGACACCAGGCATTCTCCTGCCTCCTCCCCGAGCCCCTCACAGGAAGGCCGGGTGGGGGCTGGAGGCAGGAGCACAGCTGCCGGTCCGCGGGCCGGTTCCCACGCGGCCGCGGCCGGAGCTGCCATCAGCCATCCTCCTGTCTCCTCCCCGAGCCCCTCGCGAGCAGGCCGGGTAGGGGCTGGAGGCAGGAGTCAGGCTGCCGGTCCGCGGGCTGCTTCCCACGCGGCCGCGGCCGGCGCATCTATCAGCCATCCTCCTGTCTCCTCCCCGAGCTCCTCGCGAGAGGGCCGGGTGAGGGGCGGGAGTGGGATCCTCAGTGCCGGCACGCGCGCCAGCTCTCATGTGGCCGCGGCCGGCACATCTCTGCAGCCTCTCTCCTCCTCCCCGAGGCGGTCGCGCAGTGCCCGTCTGGCGGCCGCTGCTCGGGGAGGTGACAGCCGCCCAGGACCTCTTACCATCGGCTCGCGGGCCCTCAGAAGGGCGGCCGCGAGCTCCCGGTCGGCTAATCCAGCCCGGCCGGCGCGCCGGGTGCCTGATTTGCGCTCTGCCCCCTCCGGATCTCGGGCAGGGCGCGCACAGGTTGGGCCTGCATCCACCTCTCCTTCCAGGGCGGTAAGTGGGCCGCAGGCCACCGGGGATTTCGGGAGGGGGTTGGGGTGTTCGGGGGGTAGGGGCCCAGCGCCAGGCCCATCTTTCAACTGTCACAGCCCCCCCCCTTCTCCTTCTCCCCCCTCTGTCTCCCCTGGGCCTGCCTTTCCTGCACTCCCACTACCCTCATCCGTCCAGCCACTCACACTACCCTCATCCGTCCAGCCTACCCACTTGTATTCCCCCCTCCCCCTCCCACCTTTACCTAGGGCCCATGGTAACCCCCCTGGGGCTACCTCAGGCATGGCTATCCCAATCCCTGGTTCCCCTGTCCCACCCTCTGGTGCCCCTGTCCTATCTACTAATTTGCCAGGGTTGCCCCCCCCTACTGCGCATCTTCCAGCACCTGGGACGGGTGGGTCGGGTTTTTTCTCACCTGTCCTGTCTTCGCAGATTCTTCCAGGTCAGCTCGCTAACCGGGTCCCTGACGCTGTGTCTGGTGCGGTGCTTCCTGCGGTCGCAGTTCCCTCGCAAGTCGCGGTTCCGCTCCTACCCTCCAATTCGGCTCCTGCCGGTGAGTATTCTGCTTTTGCCGGATCAGAATCAGGGGGCGCTGGCGCACGCGAGTCGCAAGAATGGGGTTCGGTGCTCCAAGCGATAAGGAATGCTCTTGTAACTCTTGAGCGGGGATCTCGCCCTGGGGCTCCCCCCCCAACGGCCGTGGATAGCCAGCTTCGGGCGGGCTGGGCTAGTTCCGCAGGATGTGAGGTTGCGGGGGTTGCGGCAGCGTTACCCGACGCTTCTACGCAGGTCACCATCCCTCTGGCTGCGGCGCCTCCGCTAGTAACAGCTGATTCTTCAGCGAGTCCTACGGGGGTCACCGCGGTTGTCTCGGGTTTAGGGGTAGCACCCGCTGCGCATGGGGCAGCGTACATGTGCTGGTCAGGCCCTTTGGGCCTCCATCTGACGCCTGATTTGAGGGCTAAAATAGAAAAAGGAGAATTTGTTGAAATTTTTTCCCTCCTCCCTTTGGAAGATCTTCCTCGGGTGGATGCAGATGCAAAAGAGTCTGAAAAAGACAAAGAGAAGTTTCGGTATCGGAAGATTCCGAAAACTTTTGGTAACTGGATTAGGGCTTTTTCTATCCTAGCTAGCGTGATAGGTGAAAAGACTCCCAGTAAATGCTCTTCCCTATTTTGCTACCAGGACATGATATGGAATGCCTGTCGGGTTTATGGCGGGCTAGGGTGGTGGCGGTATGATGAACAGTTCCGCCAACGTTTGGCGGTTTGCCCTTCCACGAGTTGGGATCAAATGGATATCGGCTTGTGGTTGGCCATCATGACCCGCCCAGCTTCGCATCAAGGGGGCCTTTCGTCCTTTCTTGGGGGGGCCGGCGCTGGGTCCTCATCTTCAGCGTCGGCCACTCAGCGGAGGACTGGGTACTGTTGGCAATATAACGACGGCCAATGTAAGTTCGGTTCCGCCTGCCGCTTCAAGCATGAATGTTCCGGGTGCGGCGGTTCCCACCCAGCATCAAAATGCTTCAAGCGAGGTAGGACCGGCGACAAAGGAGATGCCATGGGCGCTAAGGGCGAGGACGCCGGTGGACGTAGACGCGATGCGCCCTTGGCTAAAGCGTTATAGCAATAAGAAGGCGGCTGCCTTGTTATTGGAGGGTTTTGGACAAGGGTTTTGGATCCCTCACCGGGCCCGGCAGGTCTCCGGCTTCTGCCGGAACCTGAGATCAGTTGCCGATCACCCGGGGGTGGTAAGGGAAAAATTGGCTAAGGAGGTAGCGCTGGGTCGCATGGCGGGCCCCTTTCGAGAGCCTCCACTACTCGATTTGAGGGTTTCACCACTGGGTGTGGTACCCAAAAGGGAACCAGGCAAGTTTAGGCTGATTCACCATTTATCGCATCCTCAAGGGGGCTCGGTGAATGATGACATTGCCGCTGAATTGTGCCGCGTTTCCTACGCGTCCTTTGACGCGGCGGTGGATATGGTCAGGGCTGCTGGCCCCGGGGCACTTATGGCAAAAACGGACATTGAGTCGGCTTTTCGCCTCCTACCGGTTCACCCGGAGTGCCACCACCTCCTGGGTTGTATATTCGAAGGTCATTATTACGTGGACATGTGCCTCCCGATGGGTTGTGCGATATCCTGTTTTTACTTCGAATGTTTTAGTTCCTTCATGGAATGGGTAGTTAGAGCGGAATCCGGTTACGATTCCTTGCTTCACTACCTGGATGATTTTTTCTGTGTTGGCCCTGCGCGCTCCCCGATATGCGCGCACCTCCTGCAAGCAGTAGCGGATGTTGCTTGCGAGTTCGGAGTGCCGCTGGCACCAGAAAAAACAATTGGCCCTTCTACGTGCCTGTGCTTTCTCGGGATCGAGATTGATTCCGTTGTTGGTGAATGTCGGCTCCCATTGGATAAATTGGCTGATCTTCGGGAGGTGGTGCGAGTGGCGACCACTTTGCGAAAAATTACGTTGCAGCGACTTCAATCCCTATTGGGCAAATTGAACTTTGCCTGTCGGATTATGCCGATGGGCAGGGTGTTCAACCGGCGCCTTGCGGCCGCTACGGCTGGGATTTTGAAACCGTCTCACTTCGTCCGCTTGACCAAGGCGCTCAGGGAGGACTTGGCAGTATGGGCAGTCTTTTTGGATGGGTACAACGGCAGGTCCTACTGGCAGCAGCCCGAGGTGACGAACTCGGTGCTGCACCTGTTTACGGATGCCGCGGGGTCTTGGGATTTGGGGCTATCATGGGAAGGCAATGGTGTGCGGAGCCCTGGCCCGAATCGTGGTTCACCTCTGGCCTGACCAAGAACATGGCTTTCTTGGAACTCTTCCCCATTGTGGTGGCTATCCATCTTTGGGGGCCAGAGATCAAGAACAGGCGTGTTGTGTTCCACTGTGACAACATGGGCGTTGTACAAGCCATTAATAGGCTAACGGCCTCCTCCCCTCCTGTAGTTCGGCTCTTGCGGCGCTTGGTTTTACAATGTCTGTCTTTTAATGTGACTTGCCGCGCTGTGCATATCCCTGGTGTGGAGAATACCACGGCTGATGCTCTTTCTCGTTTCCACTGGCAGGTGTTTCGTTTGGCCGCGCCGGAAGCGGACACGGAAGGCCTCCCCTGTCCCAGAGACTTATGGTCCCTTGGCCTGAGCGGATAAGGGAATGGATTCGGTCTTCGGTGTCTGAGGCAACTTGGGTTCGGTACGGTAAGGCATGGGGGGACTGGGTTGCTTTGGAACAAGACCTAGGTGGATTTGATTCGACCTCTGCAAGGGTTCAGGGGATCTTACGGTTGCTCTGGTTCTGGGAGGCTAGCGGGTGTTCTCCGGCTACGGTTTCAGGGAAGCTATCCGGTCTTAGTTTCTGGTTCAACTTGACTAAGGTGCCTGACGTTACCAAGGACTGCATGGTTCGGCTTGCGATGCGCGGCTGGCGCAAGGGCCCACACCTGCGGGATTCTCGGAGGCCGGTTTCTGGCGCTCTGCTAGTAGGCATTGCGTCGGTCTTACCCAGGGTTTGTTTTTCAGATTCGGAGGCACGTTTGTTCCAGTTGGCTTTTACTTTCGCCTTTTTCGGCGCCCTTCGAATCGGTGAGCTTGTGAGCCCTAGCAAACGGATCCCGGGGGGCTTGTTGTTCAACGATGTGTCTGTGGTGTCGGATTCAGTGCGTTTTTTGGTACGAAGGTCCAAAACCGACATCTTCGGCAAAGGGGCATGGGTTACCCTCCGCGCTATTCCGGGTTCGGCTGTCTGCCCTGTCGCATCTTTTCAGTCTTATTGTCTTGGTCGCCCGGACGTTGAGGGCCCTCTACTAATTCATGGGGACGGTTCCTTCCTTTCTCGGTTCCAATTTCTTCGGGTCTTTCGGTTGGCACTCGACCAACTGGGTATTTCGAGTGCAGACTTTGGGGGACATTCTTTTCGAATTGGGGCCGCAACTGAAGCCTCCCGTTTAGGTTTTTCGGACCAGGCCATTCAGAGGATTGGCAGATGGGAATCGGGGAGGTTTCGGTCTTATGTACGGCCCACACGTCTGATCGGTGTCCCCCTTGTGTTTTCTCCACAGGGCCTGGCCGACGGATCTGGTTGATCGGTCATTCGTACATCTACTGGGCTCACCTGCGGGCTGGGGTACGCCCGGGTGGGACACGGCTCGGAATACCTCGGGAGCTGGCGGAGGTCCGGTGGTTCGGGTTCCGGGGCATGAGATGGGGTCAGCTATTACCGGAGGTCGTGCAGTTATCCACTTTATTAGGAGCCCCGGACATCTTGGTGGTGCATCTGGGGGGGAACGATCTGGGGTCCCTGCCTGCGTGGGGGCTGGGGGAACTCATCAGGCGAGATTTGGCGCGCTTGCGTGTGCTTTTTCCACGACTTTGTTTAATATGGTCGGATATCGTTTCTAGGAACTATTGGAAGTGCGCACGCGATCAGGGTGCTATTGAGCGCTGCAGGGTCAAGATTAATAAGCGGGTTTCCAAATTTGTCCTAGGCGTCGGGGGCTTAACAGTGCGACACCGTATTTTTGAGCGCGAGGCAGCAATCTATTTTCGCCCGGACGGGGTCCATCTAACTGACGTAGGCTTGGACTTATTTAATTTAGCGCTACAGGACGCGTTGGAACAGGCCATGGCGTTGCTTGGGGGTCGCGCCCGCTGATTTAGGCGTAAATGCAGCTGGGGCTAGTGGCGGGTATGGTCCTTGCCGAACCTATTGGGAAGAGGAGTAAAGAAAAAGAAAGATGCTGGGTCGGGTCCCTCCCCTGACCTCGAAAATGTTTTGGGTATTTGGGCGTGCCCTCCGTGCCAGGAAAGGTGGCCAGGGGTTGGCATGTGGAGTTTGAAGGCCAAAGTGAAGGCCAGGTATCTTGGACGAGGGGGGAGGGCCGATGCCTTGGTGGGGGGTGTACCCTAGAGTTTTGGTGGTACGGTTGGCAAGGACTAGTTTGAAGATAAGCATACTTACACCTAAATTATTTATGGTTGGTTTATTTACAGTTGTTTGTTAATTTATAAATAAAGCTGTGGCCTTTTTATACCACATATACGTTTCCTAGTTTGATTGGGGGGGAATTGAGCGATTTTGGGGATTGTTATGGTTCACACCACACGATAACCGCTACCTACACACAAGGCCCAGAGGAGGCGGGCTGAAAGCTAGCCGGATAGGAGGCATGTGTGGGTGTGGTGGGTGTGGTGGAAGTATGGGTGTGTGATTTAGCTAAGGAGTAGGGTGGGGTCATATAAATAGGTGACATTTTGTCTGCTACCTCAGCCATCTTAAATTTAACGGCAAGGTAACTAGTCCCCTCCCTCCCTCCCCTGTTTGTTTGCGTTGTTTGTCTGTTTGTCATTAACAATTTTTTCTTGTCACAGCCGGCGGGTATGGTCCTTGCCGAACCTATTGGGAAGAGGAGTAAAGAAAAAGAAAGATGCTGGGTCGGGTCCCTCCCCTGACCTCGAAAATGTTTTGGGTATTTGGGCGTGCCCTCCGTGCCAGGAAAGGTGGCCAGGGGTTGGCATGTGGAGTTTGAAGGCCAAAGTGAAGGCCAGGTATCTTGGACGAGGGGGGAGGGCCGATGCCTTGGTGGGGGGTGTACCCTAGAGTTTTGGTGGTACGGTTGGCAAGGACTAGTTTGAAGATAAGCATACTTACACCTAAATTATTTATGGTTGGTTTATTTACAGTTGTTTGTTAATTTATAAATAAAGCTGTGGCCTTTTTTATACCACATATATACGTTTCCTAGTTTGATTGGGGGGGAATTGAGCGATTTTGGGGATTGTTATGGTTCACACCACACGATAACCGCTACCTACACACATGCACATGATCCATAGTTGCCAACTGTCCTGTTTTTGCTGGAGTCTGTCTCGGGCAATTTACTCTCCCGGGATAGTCCCGGCAACTTGCAGGGCCATGTGCTTTTATTTATTTTGCTGTTACAGTCTGAGGGAATTCAGGAGAGAGATGCTGGGGGCTATAAAAAAGTGCTGGGGGCTGCATTGAGACTGCTGGGTGTGGGAGGGAGCCCTGAGAGTCTCCCTTCCGTATTCACAGCAGCTTCCCGGCACACAGGCTCCTGCGCCACCTCGCAAATGCAGACACAACGCAAGCGCCACCCATGTGTGTTAACTCCGCCTCCTGCACAAAAGCTCGTCCCCCGCTAAGCAGCAGACCTTGCCTGAGATGACTACCTGACCTCCCAGCAACAGCCTCCAGTGCCAGGTAGGCTTAAAATAATGAGGGTGTGTGTGTGCTAGTGAGAAAGCTTGTGTGTCAGTAAGCTTGTCTGTAGTAAGCTTGTATTTAGTGAGCTTGTGTGCAGGGCCCTCTTTCCACATGGGCACGCTGGGCAGTTGCCCGGGGACTCCACAAACATGAGGGCCCCACTGTGATGCCCATGTGCCCAGTCCGACAGAGGAGGCCTGCTTTCGTGCTATGGGCCCTCTCTGGCCGGTGAGGAGATCAAAGATCTCCCTCACCAGCCCAAAGGCCATTCGCTAGTGACAGGGAGGACCTGGGAGGCAGAGCGTGATGCCCATGTATCCAGGCCAACAAAGGAGACCTGCTTTTTTGCTATGGGCCCTCTGGCCAGTAAGAAGATCAAAGATCTCCCTCACCGGCCCAAAGGCGCTTTTCTTGTGACAGGGAGGCTGGGAGGCAGAGCACTCCTCCCACGAACATGCTGTGCGGAGCGTTGATGTGTGTTACCATGGCAACGCTCCAACACCACATTCTGCTCACGGGAGAAGTAAAGACATCCTCCAGCCAGATGAGCTTCAGGCTGTAGAGCACTGCGGACCACCAGGTCACAGCACCCATCACACACACAGCACTCCTCACACACACACACACAGTACCCGTCACACACTGCACCCATTACACACACAGCTACTGTCACAAACTGCACCCCTCAAACACACACTGCACCCCTCACACACTGCCCTACTCACACACACTGCACCCCTCAAACACATACACTGGTCCCCTCACTGCAGTCTGGGTGTATTCAGCAGTCTGTGTGTGTGTAGAAAGAATCATGTGTGTATTCGGCAGTCTCTTTGTGTGTGTTCAGCAGTGTGTGTGTATTCAGCAGCCTGTGTACATTCAGCAGTTTGTGTATGTATTAAGCATTCTATGTGTATTCAGCAGTATGTGTGTGTGTATTCAGTGTACTGTGTGTATGTACTCAGCAGTCTGTGTGTACCACAGTCTGTTTATGTATACTCAGCAGTCTGTGTGTGTGTGTGTGTGTGTGTGTGTGTATTCAGCAGTCTGTAAATGTATTCACCATTCTGTGTGTATTCAGCAGTCTGTGTGTGAATGTGTTCAACAGTCTGTGTGTAAATGTGTTCAGCAGTCTGACTTTATTCAGCAGTTTGCGTGTATGTATGTATTGTATTTGTTGGAGGTACCAATATATATAAGCTTCATTTTATTGATAATTTACATTTTTATTCCTGTAAGTTGTTGTGTAGGAAGGGCCACAGTGCACTTGCTTTGCCCAGGGGCCCATAACGCTGTTAAGATGGCACTGCTTGTATGTGTCAGTAAGCTTGTCTGTAGTGAGCATGGGTGTGTCAGAGCTTGTATTTAGTGAGCTTGTGTGTGTCAGTGAACATATGTGTGTCAGTGAACGTGTATTTAGTGGGGATGTGTGTATCACTGAGCTTGTCTGTAGTAAGCTTGTGTGTGTCACTGAACTTGTCTGTAGTGAGCCTTGTGTGTCTATACAAGTAAATTTGTCTGTAGTAAGCTTGTGTGTGAGTCAGAGAGTTTTGTCTGTCAGTGAGCCTATTTGTGTGTATTAGTGAGTTTGTGTCAGTGAACTTGTCTGTCTTTGAGCCTGTGTATCAGTGAGCTTGTGTGCTTACTGTATAATATATAATACATAGGGCTGGCATACATTGCCCAGCCCTGTTACACACATTTAGGAGCTGCTGTTGACAGGTACTAGTAGTCTAGAGCAGGCATAGGCAACCTTTGGCACTCCAGATGTTTTGGGCTACACCTCCCATGATGCTTTGCCAGCATTATGGGTGTAAGAGCATTATAGGGGATGTAGCCCACAACATCTGGGGTGCCGAAGGTTTCCTATCCCTGGTCTAGAGATTGGGACATGGGGTATCTCCTCAGCTATCTGTATAATACTGCTCTCCGTATAATACAGGTCTGTGTGTATAATATACTGGGACAGTCAGTGCTCTTTGTATAGTGCTGCTCTCTGTATAATACAGGTCTGTGTGTATAATATACTGGGACGGTCAGTGCTCTTTGTATAGTGCTGCTCTCTGTATAATACAGGTCTGTGTGTATAATATCCTGGGCCGGTCAGTGCTCCCTGTATAGTGCTGCTCTCTGTATAATACAGGTCTGTGTGTATAATATCCTGGGCCGGTCAGTGCTCCCTGTATAGTGCTGCTCTCTGTATAATACAGGTCTGTGTGTATAATATCCTGGGACAGTCAGTGCTCCCTGTATAGTGCTGCTCTCTGTATAATACAGGTCTGTGTGTATAATATTCTGGGACAGTCAGTGCTCCTTGTATAGTGCTGCTCTCTGCATAATACAGGTCCTGTGTGTATAATATTCTGGGACAGTCAGTGCTCCCTGTATAGTGCTGCTCTCTGCATAATACAGGTCTGTGTGTATAATATCCTGGGCCGGTCAGTGCTCCCTGTATAGTGCTGCTCTCTGCATAATACAGGTCCTGTGTGTATAATATCCTGGGCTGGTCAGTGCTCCCTGTATAGTGCTGCTCTCTGCATAATACAAGTCTGTGTGTATAATATCCTGGGCCGGTCAGTGCTCCCTGTATAGTGCTGCTCTCTGTATAATACAGGTCTGTGTGTATAATATCCTGGGCCGGTCACTGTATAGTGCTGCTCTCTGCATAATACAGGTCTGTGTGTATAATATCCTGGGCCGGTCAGTGCTCCCTGTATAGTGCTGCTCTCTGCATAATACAGGTCTGTGTGTATAATATCCTGGGCCGGTCAGTGCTCCCTGTATAGTGCTGCTCTCTGCATAATACAGGTCTGTGTGTATAATATCCTGGGCCGGTCAGTGCTCCCTGTATAGTGCTGCTCTCTGCATAATACAGGTCCTGTGTGTATAATATTTTTTGTAATTGGGCAGTGTCCCTTTAAAACAATACTACCGACAAACAGATATTTTCAACTGAACCATGCTGTAGTACGGTTAGAAGTAATCACCCCTTGTAGAAATGGCCGTTTTTTTATAGAAAAGGAAAACTCATCACAATTTTTCAGACACACTACTAGGGGAAATGTATGAGTTTTTTTTGCATTTTTTGCAGAATGGACTGTCAAATTCAGAGTGGTTACAAATGAGAACAATTAAGCAGAACACTTTTCTGAAGGAAGTTTGCGGAATCCTTTGCATATCCCAAAAATGGTGTATATTTAAAAAAATATATAAATGGAGCAAAACTGTCGGACGCTTTGATAAAGCTCCCTCATTGTAACAGTTGCTGCCAGCAGCCAATCAGGACCTGGGATTTAAACAGATTGACAGTTTAACTCCCAACAAATCACTTGGCAAGGATAAGAAATGATTGTCTGATCGCTCGGATAATGTGAGTGCCATTGGTGTCAAAGTAGTCCAGGTTAGTGATAAATCCTTTTTAAAAGTAAAAAAAAGTTGAACAGATAATCATTAAAAGATATAGCCAGTTTATTGAACTAATATAAGTAGTGAGAGGTATTAAATGTTTAAATGATTTGCTCCTAAATATTAAATACAAGTGCTACATCACACTCAAATAACACAAAAATGATCAATTGATATCAACAACAAAAAATATGTGAATCCTCACATACACTACAAACCACAACTGTGAATCCAAACCTTAAATAACAATAAGATTATAATTGATACATTCTCACACCAAAAAAACCCTCAAATATTGGTTTCGAAATAATAAGTAAATCAGCAGAGCAAAAATAGGCCTCACTGTTTAAACCACGTATAGGTACTAAAACATTATACACTGAATGAAAACCAAAAACGTATGACTGCACGTATTTACGACAAATACATGAAAGTTTGTCTAAATCTTTGTACGTTAGAGGATTCAGTTTGTTCTATTGAGAACCATAGTCATGCTCGCCTCATTCTCTCCTCATTCGTATGTGAGTAAACTGTTTGCATTATCCGCTCTGGGAGCCTTACCTGCCATGCTGGAGATGCAAATCAATCTGCCTTTGGCTTTCCGTAATAATGGCAGAAACGTTTTAGTAACATGCGCAGCACCAAAAAAGTTCACATCCATGCACTGCTTATACAAACTTATAGGAAGTAACTCTCCATCTGCGATGTAGCCAATAACTCCAGCATTGTGAACAATACCCCAAAGCCCTAAAAAAATAAAATATAAAAAAAAGGATCAAAAACAGAACAGATATGGGTAATTTTACCAATACATGTGCCGATACTCTTTAAAATAAATCTAATTCGATATTTCACAGGTGACCTTTACCAACACGTAGGCAGGATTAACCATTGTCATGTATTCGATTGCAGTCAGTATTAGGATTGGCTGGCGTAGTCCAGCCAGTTAAGTTGTCTTGTTCAGTGATCAAGCAGAGGGTGTAAAACATCTATATTACATTTTTAGGAATTAGTAGTAGTAGATTGTTGAGACATTTGTTAATTAAAAAAAATAATTAATGTAAGTGAGTGCAGTTAAATTAAAATGTGTAATGGCAGGTGGAGTTGGCCGTTAATGCGGAAAAGTTACACATTGCATGAGCTCTGCAGTGCCATGGATTGTTTATACTTATTGTACTTGTGGAAAAAACAGTCACCATTTTCACCAGTGGATTTGCTTTAATTCTTATTATTCCCTTTTTTTTCGCCTGACAAATCTACATTTTAATATTTTCCCTGCAAATCCGGTCAAACCGAGGGCCACAGGTAATAACTATACAAGAGAAGTCGATTAGCTGATTAAACTGGTGCAGTCTTAGAGACCTACGGTTCACAGCACAGCTGCCATTTATTCTCCATAGCTACGTTTAAGATTGCATCTGTTTTAAAGATGGTGGTTATGCCAACCAATACATGTTGGTTTAATAACTCCTTGAGGGCAATTTCTCACAGGGCTCTATGACCTGACATATCAACAAAGAGGCTTCTAGGAGATAGCAAGCATTTGCTATGAATGTACAAGCCACCCTTAGTGATCCAGTGCCCCTCCTGTACTCTAAGTACGGACTTACCAGTGAGTGGTGAGGGGGGTGGGGGTGTAATAAAAGCTGGGGGTCTCCTGTCTAATCTCTCTTGCGCTAGCATAATTGGGATGAAACACACTATGTTTATGTTTATAGTTGTTGCTTTTTTGGCACATATGCTTACAGAACTATTGCCTTCATTTATTTTTTTCTCCTCCTGTTCACCAACATTGAAAAAAAAAATTGTAAAAAAAAATAAAAAATGTTAAATCACAAAAATATGGCGCCATGTGTAAAAATTACTTACAACAATTTGTGTCCGTTGATTTAAAAAAATAACTGTTCTCTTAAAAGAAGACATATGTTGGTTCCCCATTTATGTAGCAACCAAAACGTAGTGTGTGAATGTTAGTAGATACAACACACATTCTAAAAAAGGTAAATGTGCAGCGAAAATAATAAAAGAATGTCATTGTTGTAAAAGTCAAGTAACAAAGTTCTGGCCTAAAATCATCATTATAATAATAATAATAATAATAATAATAAACACCTCTATACTAACAGACAAAGTTTAACCTTATTCATGGATCTTAACATCTAAACAAGGCAGTACCTTCACCTTGCAATCGACCCTTGATCTCACTGCAGGCAGCCTTTATCTGCTCCGAATCGGTGACATCTAGTTGGATGATGGAAAGCCGTGACGAACAAATCCTTCTTAGTTCTTCAGCGCCTTGCCCTTTCTTATCCAAAACACTAGCAAATACAAGAACTCCTAGTTCATCCAAGTGTTTAGCTAGTGCATGTCCAAGCCCAGAATCACACCCTACATGATGGGAAAATTGACAAAATGTGAATGATTCTGCCAAAGTAAATATCTCTCAAAAATCCGCAAGTAAACAATACTTGAAATGTCTACAGAAGCATTTTACACTGATAAAACGTACGCGTATTTGAAAGCAGACAAAGAGAACACAAACAGATGTAACCTCATCGCCTGGGGACTTATAGAATGGATTCAGTTCTGTTTTTGTTCATTTAGAATCTTTTCATTTACCTGCCCATTTCACACCTAAATGTGATGTTCTTAACCACATGTTCACGTTTGTAATATAGATCGATTATCTTAGGAGAAAAGGAGGCAGTTGTGAAGTTGATGAGTTCCCTGTCAAGCGTTTCAGACTGTCCAAGTACTTCAGAATTAAAGAGGGTCAGGTACATTTAAGACAAGAGTATTTTTTTTTTAATCCAGATAATTTTTTTTCAATTCTTTCTTTTTGTAGTGCAGGGATAAAAATACAGGATGCTTGAGACACATTAGCTTAAGCATGATTGACAAGAGAAATCATTAAGACGCAAGAAATGCTGCACTTTTTTAAAATGAAAGAAAGCAGATATGAGCAGGTAAATCAAGATAGCGTGAAAAAGAAAATATTAGGAATAAGGCAATACTAGAATAAGGTAATACTAGATAACAAAGAAATGGACTTACCTCCCACAAGCCGCGCAGCCCTCCTCATGCTGTGTAGTCCGACCGCTACACACGCGCAGAAAAGTGAAGGGAATTTACCTCCCTCGAGCCGCACAGTCCGTTTGCGCGGCATACTCTAGTGCACTCACCATATCCTGACGCACGGTCCATCCAATCCATGCGGCCACGCTGCATGACAGCCTTAGAGTGTAGGCGTGACTTCACGCTTGTTCTTAAAGTGACCATGTCATTATTGTGATCCTAATCTATTTTGAGTCACAATGATGACTTGGACCAATCAGTACACAGGTAAGCCTGTTTAAAGCTTTGGCCCCTATTCTTTGCCCTATCATGGTTTCGGTCAGATCCTCGTTTAGTGCTCCTAGAGATTCCCTTGTGATTTCCTGTGTTTGACCTCCGCTTCATATTTGACTCATGATTTCTGGTATCCTGACCCAGCTTTGACTTGACTTAGTATATTTCTGTATCCCTGACCTTGATTCTTGCTAATTTAATATGTTAAGGCTGCCATTCTAAGGCTCGGTATTACATCTTTCGAATCCACCTTTTCTGGGTTTCCTATTTTCTGCGTGTTGAGACACACACACCAGTCAGAGGAGGAAAATTAACTACTGCATCAGCTGTACGTTAACTCATAGAGAGGCACCCCAATACCCACAGAGAGATCAACGAGCGGTAGGACACAGTCCCCATTCGCAGATTTAGGCCGGTGAGTAGGCAGCCAGTCCACCATTTAGCCAGCCTCTCTTCAGTGCCAAGAGTGAAGTTTTGCTTTGTTCTGAGTAATGACTCATTGAGAATTGCGTCGAGCAGTGGAGCGGAAGCCAAGTCGGATAAGCCAGGTATGTTAAGTAAAAAGGTATCGGTCGGTGCTTTGGGCGATCTGCTAGAAAATTAAATATAGCTCAACTGTGTAGGTCTCTGATGTTCTTTGTTCTGGACCTCGGTGTCGGCTGGGCCTCATGAGCCCTATGTGACTCCACTAGTGTTGAGCAGCCTTGCCCGCTGAGGTTGTCCAGAGCCCCAAGAGAGATTAAGATTTCCATGAAGCGTGGAATATGCTCAGCCACGATCTTATATGGTATAAGCGCAAATTAGAATAAAAGGTCCAGCTAGTTTCAGACACGCAGGATAGCAGAGCGGCGGCCGTCCGGCCCACTCACCGCCTGAGTAGGCCTTGGTCACAGAGCTTAAATTTCTTCCCTTACGGAAAAAAACAAACAAAAAAAACTACTTTAATTTCAGGCAGAAATTTAGGACCAGCACCACTTAGTGCATGTATCTGCCGCTTGTCGGTGCCAGATGAAGGGTCAGACCGCTTTTGTGGGCCAAAAGGTTTGCAAGGGAGCTGTTTATCCATACAACCAGGCAGCATGGCGGTCTGGCCCCGTCCCCTTTTAATCTAGATCTGAAAAGCAGCTATTAGAGGATTATTTATGTGGCTTTTTAGTATGTATTTAAAATAGTAGCGCTCTCCATTCATATTTTAACAGTGTTCTGAAAAGGCACAGACAGGGCATTTTGTGCAAGTTACGCAGCTACTCCCGTGATGCTCTGGTACAATGTATTTATATAGCTTGGTGCTACTTCTAAGTGTTGCTTCCAAGTGTGTAGTTGGAGATATTCTGGAGAGTTTTACAGAAGCTTCAACTGTCTAAGAGTTGTGCTAAGAGCTTTCTTTTCTACTGTTACAGGTAAGATTCATCTGTAGGAAAAGGTTACTGATTGCACAAGGTTTGAATTCCTGTTGGTAATTATAAGGCATTTGATTTGATTAAGCTAGTTACTTGCTGTTGATTGCTGGTTAATTAGCTATTGTTTGCAAATAAGCAGAGGCCTACCCAGGTGTTAAACATTCCTAGTGGGCGGTGATTTAAGGAGTTATATAAGGCCTGGTCTCATTAGCTTGTCTAATATAGCTTGGTGCTACTTCTAAGTGCTGTTTCTAAGTGTGTAGCTGGAGATATTCTGGAGAGTTTTACAGAAGCTTCAACTGTCTAAGAGTTGTGCTAAGAGCTTTCTTTTCTACTGTTACAGGTAAGATTCATCTGTAGGAAAAGGTTACTGATTGCACAAGGTTTGAATTCCTGTTGGTAATTATAAGGCATTTGATTTGATTAAGCTAGTTATTTGATATTGATTGCTGGTTAATTAGCTATTGTTCGCAAATAAGCAGAGGCCTACCCAGGTGTTAAACATTCCTAGTGGGTGGTGATTTTAGGAGTTATATAAGGCTTGTTGCCATTAGCTTGGCTGCTACTTCTAAGTGCTGTTTCTAAGTGTGTAGTTGGAGATATTCTGGAGATAAACTGGAGGTAATCTGAGGTATTCAGGAGGATAAATACAAAGTTAAGATTTGTTAGATTTAAATTATTCTCCTAATTGGAATGGCAGACTTAGTTCAGTGTAATAGTTGCTATGCATTTGTTTCACGTTCCACTTTTTGGAGGTTTGGTTGTTGTCTTATCTGTAGACAGTTCTCTATCTTGCGGCAGGAGATTGTATTTTTGAAGTCTGAGATTTGTAAATTATCTGGTGAACAAACAGACTGGAACTGCTGCAAAGCCACTGCCGCAGAGACATACGAGGAATGGCAGATGGATTACTGTAGGATCTGGTAGACTTAGAGTTGTGGATAAAAGGCATTTTGCACAGTCTGTTGCTCTGCATAATTCATTTTCTGCACTTTCAGAGTGTAATGGTGTTGTGGAGAGAGACACTGAGGCTAGTGGTGTTGTGGAGAGAGGCACTGAGGCTAGTGGTGTTGTGGAGAGAGGCACTAAGACTATATTGAGATTAGCAGTTGTCATCACAAACCTTGGTTGACTAATATCCCCAGGGGACAATTCCTAAGACTACGTAGGAATTGCACGAATATACAAGCTGAACTCCTGAAAAAACAATTTGTACAAAAGGGGTATCCTAGAAAAGATTTGGATACCCAAATTCAGGAAGTATCATCTTTGGAAAGATCTCCCCTTTTGAAGTATAAAAGTAAAGAAAGATCTGTGATAGATGGAAAAAAGAAACAGATCCCCTTTATTTTTAACTATTCGAGCAATGTAGGTGCTATCATAAGAATCATAAATAAAAATTGGGATATTTTAGGTCAGGATGAGGAAGTACAAGAATTTTTAGGTCCCAAGCCCAAATTTATTTTTAGGGGTGCACAGTAGTTTTTTAGAGAAAACATCTATAGATAATAGTAATTTTTTAATGAGTTGGTCCAGAAAACAACAGGGTTTTTACTACTGTGGAATGTGCAATGCATGCAAAAGTACAAATATAAAAGAGAAAAATGTAATTATTTTTAACTCTTTCAGTACTAAAAAAGAATTTAAAATTAAATCGATGATTACGTGCCATTCAAATAACGTCATATACCTACTAAACTGTACATGTGGCCTCCAGTATGTAGGTAAGACATCAAGGCCTTTGAAGGTCCGAATAGGTGAACACGTTAGAAACATTAAGAAAGGATTCATAAACCATAGTGTGTCAAAACATTTTTTGGACAAACATGACTCAGACCCGAAGTTTTTGAATTTTTGTGCCATAGAGAAAATTGAGTCTCATTGAGGTACCCAAGAGGTGAAATGGATATTTGAAATGCGCACTTTATCACCCTTGGGTCTTAATATCGATTTTGAAATCAATAGCATTTTATGAAAAATATTTATCACAGTTAACTTGATATTTTATACATATATTTTTTTTAGATCTTTTTTAGATGGTTTTAAAAAAAAAATTTTTCTTTTTAAACTCTCTTCTTTCTTACACCAATTTACTGTGATTTTAAGCCACCCTTTTGTATTCTCCTAACGCCTCTCTATTTTAAATATATGTTTAGTTTAAAAACTATGGGTTAATTGTAAACTCGTTTTATGGATGTAACATATTGATACTCAGTAATAATTTATTCTATATTCTTCTTTCTTCTGTATCCGGACTTATGAATAAAACGAACTAAGGGCATTTTGCCCTATTTCTAATGGACATTCCGTACACCGCTCACGTGACCCATGATATACACGTCACAGGAAGTGACGGGTCGGAACGTGATGACCTGGAATTAAAGGATGTGACGTTCTGGATGAACGAAACCGACTGAATTATACAGAGAATGAATTAAGAACTAAACGGACATGTTGGGGAGGGCTGGTGGGAGTAGTTCACAGTCGGAAGTGCGGCCAGATTTTGGTTGGCGTGACACTTCCGGCTGTGACCATATATGGAAGTGGGTGGGAATTTACACATATGTTGGCAACTATTTATATAGTTTGTCCATCGTTATCTTTAGGTATATAAGAGCCTTCTAGTTCATTGTTAAGTTAGATGCACTTGGAAAAAGACCTATTGAAGGTTGAAACGCGTTGTGCTTTTTACTGATATTTAATTTGTATATATATATATATATATATATATATATACACACACACACACACACATACATACATACATACATACATACACACACACACACACACACACACAAGGATAAGACGATAAGCGCTTAAAGTTTAGAGCCAACTTTCAAAAGGCTCAGAAAATTGTGAGTGTGACTAAATACATTCCTCACTTTGATATTTCTGTATATACAGGTTACACTATGTATGTTTTATTCACTTGTATATAGGTTACAAGAACTACCTGTTTTATGTGGTTACTTGAGATATTGTATATGTAAGGTAATATCTACCTGTCTCTGTGTGCGCTAGTCACCCTTTTTCTCTTTTTCCATTAATGGCTGTGTGTGGAGTTATTTTGAGGGGACAGCAAGTTATACAGGCTGTACACTTACTACTTTACATTGTAGCAGAGTGTCATGTCTTCAGTGTTTTCACATGAAAAGACAAAATATTTACAAAAATGTGAAGAGTGTACTCACTTTTGTGAGATACTGTACACACACACACACACACACACACATACCTTGTATCCACCTTGGTCATACAGGCCTAAAGAACACAAGAAATGTATTACGTGACAACCTACAGTTTAGTAAGTAGAAACTCAAAAATGTGGGTTTGAACTGGAACCCTTAACCATTAGCAATACTTTTGTCTGTATTCATTTGTCAGTTTGTTTTCACTATGCTTCTATGTGAACTTGACCTCAAAAACTTTTTCTTTTCCTTAACTTTTTTTTTGTAAACTGAGGTTTAGCTGTCCTTTATAAATAATAGGTCAATAAATGAGGAGGCATAAACGGCAAAGAAAGCGTTATAGAAAAAGAATAAATATTCAAATTGCAAAGGACAATTTAATCTAATGGTTTAGCAGGTGAAAGTTAGAAAGTGCATTAAAGAGAAATACAATTTCCTTTAGTTATGGTGCATAGGAACATTGGTTTTTATAGGCTTTGCTTGGGATTTATGGGCATATCCCATATTAGAGTGCAGTGACACAGCCTATGGCACAGACGATAAGTAACTGCAGAACTACTGCTGAATGTAAATACACTCCATAAAAAAGGAATATTTTTTCTACGCTTACAACAACATTCTGCTCGACCTGCTGGCAACCTCCATTACTCCTATCATATTCAACTCTCTTTAATCCCACCTTAAAACTGAACTATGAAGAGGGTCATTTGGCAAGTGTAATTATATTTCATGGAGTTATGCTTGCCAATAACCATTTTAGGTGCATGGTGTGAAAATCAGCAACATCCATGTCTGGAGATGGGCGACATGACACTCAAACACATCTTTCAAGGTCATTTCTTTGAATAATGGAACCTACAGCTCGAATGTTAAAAAGTGACAATATCCAGTAAGAAACTTACAGTGAAAACCAGCCGTTTTATTTGTTTAAAATTATCTAGATTAGGAGCACTTTAAAAGTCTGTGCAGTGTTTGTGACACAGCAACCTCTTTACAGACCAATGACGTGGATATTTAAAAGTGAGAACTGCCAGAAACTCAAAGTGAATTTCAGAAATTAGCACAATAGAGCCGAATTAGAAACATTCACTTCTGTTTTCAGTTTGGCTATTTTAGATTTAAATTTTCAATTCACTTTGCAATCCGAGAAATTCTCACGTTAATGAAAAACCTTGTTAGTTAAATTGTTCTTTCGCACTTAGCGACACTGGTCACTAATAACGCTACACGTGCAAAAGGCATAAGTCCCTTATGTAATAATTGATATTCAGGCATTACATGATTTAAACTGGGCTTCTACTTAGGTTTGTTTATAATAGGTAATCATGTTCACTTTATCTTGTATTGTGTAGATGTACCGGACACGTTTGTTTGGCCCTCAAAAATATATAAATTGGGTGGGGAGAAGAAAACCAGTTCCCTGATGTCGTAAGCTATCCAAATAAACAAATATTGCACATACAAAAAAAAAAAAAACACACACACAAAAACAGCTTACTAAGTGATGTGTCTATAGAAGTAACTATGAGAAGGGTTTTTTTTGTGGAAAAATCATTTGGAACGTTTTCTAACAGTATTGAATCATGCAGATAGCTTGTTAAATTGAGGTTTCAGTATGAATGTCATAATTACGTCTCTGGCTTAATTGAGCCTCTTCCAATATTTTTGAACCTTACAGTCGTACTGAGGCTACTTTGTATTTTTCGGTATACTGCTGTATTGTTCCTACACCTGGCACTTCTTGACAATAGGCGGAGCTCCAGTCTGGAAGTGTCAATCCCCCAGCCGTCACCAGTGATGGCTGCAGGGAATGGGCTCTGTGTATGAAGGGCGGGACCCTCCATAGACCTCAGTGCTGTACTCGAGCGCATGCAATGATATTGGGTCCTAGCCAGAAGAAGAAGGTGTCCTCCTCGAATGTCAGGATCAGTTAAGTTAACCCCTTAAGGACACAACTTATGAAATAAAAGGGAATCATGACGGAATATTTCCGTCATGTGTCCTTAACTGGTTAAATTCACCTTTTCCAGCCCCCAACCTCATCTTTGCAAATTATGCAAAGTCCCCAGACGGTAACAGGGCTGCTTCAAACTGCTTTCACAATCTTCTTTTTGTATCCTGTTGTACCGTCATTCCAGTCCTCCTTCACCCGAAGTGAGATTGGTTACACATTTCTGTTTTCAGCCTAGAGATGTCTTCACTGTAGCTGTACGTTAAACCCCTAGTGATTCCCTGTTAAAGTTTGGATTCATCTTTTGATTGTAGTGGGTTTTTCCGGATTAAAGGAACACTATGGCATTTGGAATAGAAATCTGTATTAACGCTATAGTGTCCCTACTCTTTTTCAAGTCCTCACCTCTGGTGCATTAATTTAAGTGGGGGGAAAAATTATAATAATAATAATGATGATTTACTTACCATTTTACCGCTCCGAGGCTCCCTCTGTGCTGCTCACCTCTCTGTGTCACGCCTCCTCCTTCAATGTCCAGTCCAGTGCTTCTCATAGAGGAGCATTGAGAAGCTAATGTGCAAGTGCGGCAAGTACCGCGTGCATTCAAACTTAACCGTAGAAAAGCATTGAATAAGTGCTTTTCTATGGGGGCATCCACATCATGTGACAGAGTTTTCCTCTGGCAGTGCTGTGGCAGTACCTCCAGTGGCTGTCATACTGAGTTGAACTTAAACCTTGCAATGTTTAAATTGCTGTTTCTCAATAACTTAAATATTTAACATTAGAGTTAAAAGCACAAGGACTCAGCACCCAGATAAAGTGGTCTGGATAACTATAGTGTTCCTGTACGTCTGTTACTTCTGCCTAAGGCATGTAGGGCTGTGCCACAGGTCTTTAATAATGAGAAAACTGTACAAATTGCAAAGGAAGGGTTAAAAAATACAACCAGAAGTCATCTGGACCCAATTGTATTAAACAAGTGCTCTAGAGCAGTGTAATTTAATGCTGCCAGTCAAGTTCTGTAATCCCTTTCACTGTTAATGAAATAACTTGGGAGAAACACACAAAGAATTCATAGCTTCCAACCCGTTCGCTTATCCCAGGCAACAAGTCTTTATGAGGTGAAGTCATTAAGTTCTCTTTGATACAAATGTTTTATTACCAAACTAAAATTTAATAAAAAAAAAAAAAAAAAGAAATAATTTATAGCATGAAAAATTAAATTACGGATTTATTTTGTTAATTAAATCATCACCAACCAGCAGGATATAGTCCAAATAAATATTATATCTGGGTTTTATGGACTTTCCCATTTTATATTAATGTTAATGGTTAGCGGAGATTCGTCTGCTCCAATCCAGGGTTATAGTCTGGATTTTTCAAGCATGGATATTTTAGTCTTGTAAATTTCTGCGTTTTTAGTGATTAAACCCTATACAATATATAATGTGGAGCTAGAAGGAAGGATTAGAAAAAAATAAGTTTGTTAGAAGGGTTACTCCATTACAAAGATAGCGGCGTGTAGTCATCTAGCTTACCAAATTTTACTCAAGTCGTATTTTATATTTCCAGCTAGATCCACAGTTGTAAGAACGATGTATAAACAGAGGGAAAAGTATGAGAAGACAACGGAGCCATATTTTAGAACAGATAGCAGAGACATTTAGTAATTTATTTATAGAGTTTTAATGATTTTAAAAAAAATTTAAAAAAGCATTCATTGATAAATAATAGTGACAACCATGATGACATCTTAACAATTAATTATAATGTATAGCTCTCCATTATTTCCTTTGGTGGACTGTACACTGACTGCTGCTCCCCACCACAATCCAGATACCAGGAGAGCCAGTAGTTTCTTCTTAGGAGCTTTCATTAGCTCTCTGGAGATAATCCCTATGGATGAATTCATATGGTTTCAAATAATTTAAGATTTGTCCATGTTTTTTTTGGCTCTCAGCCATTTGTCCAAAATCCTAAACTCTTTAATGCTTTATGGACGAATCTTGAAACAAGTAAATGGGCAATGGGAGAAATTGTTTAGTTTGTTAAGTGATTCAGAGTTCCGCCTGCTAAAAAATAAATAAATAAAAAAATTTAAAAAAAGGGAGAAATGAGACCAACAGAGTGAAAATAGAAGGAGCAGAAAAGGAAAAAATATATATATTTATTTTTTACTATTACAGTATTTATTTTTGCTGCTGCACCTTTTTACACTCTATTAGTTGCTTCTTCTCACTTGATCTGTGAATCAAATGGTGCGAATATGCGCAGTGAACTGCAATATATATATATATATATATATATATATATATATATATATATATATACATATACACACACACACACACAATATTTATATTTTCCAGTACATTGAACAATTTTAGCACAATTGAAACAATTGCATGAACAAGATTCGCTTAAACCTTTAACAACCGAAAGCCCAAGTTGTAGACTAAATAGATAGACCAAATGTCAGAACACCGAGCCAGACACGGTTCAAGGCAGTAAAGGCTGCTCTGTGGGCACAACACACACATCACTGAGCTGGGGGACCATCTGCAGTATGCACATAGATATGCTGAGTGATATAGCTACAAGGGAAACTAGTACAGATTTTGTGAGAATTGGACAGCAGCAGGACATGTTGAGGACATGGGCCTGACATTTTCACACTCCTTACTAATCTCGCCACACCTAGGTTAGTTTTCCTAGTGGTCCTCTCTGATTGAACAGCACATGATCCCTGGAGTTGGCTTGCCTAAAGCTTGTCAGGATATTTATATCGGCAGACATTTTGTGCTAAAATAGAAATTAAAAGTGTATATTGCCAGAGTCACTCAGAGCAGAGCGGACTCCATTTTGGATCTTCAGGCCAACAAAGACACATAATTTCTTCTTGCTTTCACTAATCACTGAGCCTGAGCTAAGGAATGCATTATATAAACAAGCCAAGTGATTAGCAATGAAGCAGGGGGATAGAAGGCCCTGTTTAAATGTTAATGGAATAGAACTAATTCTAAACACAGACATTAGTGACAGAGAAGACCAAGTAACTAATTTTACTCTCTAAATTTTACAAGGTCCCATTGTAAGTAAGGGGTGAAATTGAGTTTAGAACTGTCAATTTTAGAAATTACGATCAAAGTAGTTGCCACAAAGACGGAGAAAACGCTCTGAACTGACAGCAAATTTAAGTTATGGTAGTCATTTTAGATAAGCCAAATGACGTCAAAATCGTCATCAGGAAAAGTTAACTCTTTCCTGGATAGGAAGGTTTAGTGAGGCGAGACTGCCCTCTATGGATCAAATACCTAAATTGCAATCTGCAGGTTGAACACACCTTCAGTTTCCTATTGGCCTTATCAATTAATGACGTACAGAGAGTCTGGCCCTTTAAAAGTTAGGACAAAGGGAAGAGAGGAGTTAGTTGGTGTAGAGTTTGGGCATTCAGATTCGGACATGCAGAGAGATCCAGGACACTCTCTGGTACTAACACTCAACTCTCAAACTCTCTTGGACACAACTCAAGAAACACTCTTTGACACTTTTACTGATACTTTCTAACCAACATCACTTTTCTCTATTACTCACACACCTCCATACAACCAATCATACTCGCATTTTCCTGGGACTACCTACTCATTTGATGAGAATACCTACATAACTGGTAATTATGCTGGTTTTATTTAATTAATTTAAATCAATTAAAAATTTACTAATAGCATGATATATGACTGGATAAATCATGGTAAGAGTTCAATATTTAGAAATCTTAGTTAACTAAAGAATATATAGTTATAAACTTTCCATTCTGCAGGTGGAATTAAGAATAATTATATATTAATGTGATAGTATCACGTGTTAGCATACCGCTGTTTTTATCCAGGTGTATTGATTTGCTCTAAAATAAGACAAGATATATTTTTAGGCAAATTAAAATTCGGTTTATAGAATCTGGTAGATTATTCTTATTGGATGGTTCCAGGAAATGATTAATGAGCTGGTTTGAATGTTATTTTAATTGAAAATTACAAGAGAATAGGATATTATATGCCTAGGAGGATCTAGCCAGCATTGAAAGGGTTACTCAGTTGATTTAACTGTTAGCCAAGGGTTTTGCTGGGCTGTGTGAAGCTTTACTTTCTGTGTGTGAAGTACCCTCATAAATCTTTCTAAGTGACAGGTGATGCTGTTAGCCATTGGAAAGTGTATAGCCATTCCATTGCAGTGTATACTTATGTTATACTAAATATTCACTGATTAATATCATGCATGCTGCCTAATATTATATTTGTCACAATAAATTATAACTATTTTTATAACAAATTGTGATTTTATTTGTATGGATTACATTTCACTTACATGATAACGATCTCTAAGATCTAAGAGAATTGAAATAGTGGGCAATTCTTGACTGTTTAATATTATCATCAAGCTAGTGGTGGATTATTAGCAGATATGTTATTTGCAAGAGACCAGACAAGAAGACACCTAGGTGTCCTTTTTTTACACACAGTTATCAACACTGATGAACACATTTATTGGAATACCTGAATATGCCTCTATTTAAAACAACAATATATAGTGTTAGGAATACAAACTTTTATTCCAAACAATATAGTGCCCCTGTCTCTGGTTGTATACAGTCCCCCTCATGTGCAGTAAGAGTATAATAAAAGGTTTTTTTCCACTGTCGAGGTGAATGTCATTAAGAAGGCATGGTCTCCTTCAGAAATGGTCAATTTCAATACTTCTCATAGAGGAACATTGGGGACCTAATGCGCATGCACAGCGAGTGCCAGGAAGACAGCCACTGGATGTTGATCTAACCCTGCAATGTAAACATTGACATTTCTTAAATTTTTTTTACGAAAAGCAATGTTTTACAAAGGACAGGGCCACTGCACCCAGACCTCTTCATTGGGATGAGTGGTATGGGTGACTCCGCAGTTTTTGCGGAGTATAAACCCTGTCCTAGCTGGTGAGTGTTAGCGCTGTCACGCCAGCAAAGGCACATTTCAACACTTCTGGTGGGAATGCCCTAAGATTACACCTTTTTGACAATTTGTGTGATTTTTATTAAGTTCTCCGATAACCACGCCCCCTTTCAACCTGCCCCTTGCTTCTTACAAGACCACCATGCCAACAGCTAAATACAAGAAATCGTTAACCATTAGAATATTAAATACTGCAAACAAATTCTACCCCCATTTTGGAAAAAAGCCCCCCTTCCCCCTGGCCTTAACAGTGTGGTTTGACAAAATGGTGGACTTACGTAGATTGGAGGAACTGACATTTTCAGCTCAGGGACGTTCTCACACCTATGTAGACATATGGATCCACTGGGTGGTGGTTGTTTACCACACTGTCTTTCAGAGACTGTTGATATACAGGCATATGACAGAACATTAAGGGGGAAAAGGGATGAGACTAGTACATGTTGCTTATCCCTGAAAGGTAAATGAAAAATACACTCTCATAGTGTAGTACAGTGTGATGGACCGCCTGGCACCCTGACTGGGTACCTTCGTCAATCGCCGCTCCCTAGTAATCCTTGAGTACCATAAGCACCGCTCCGGACACCATAACCACCGTAGACCCCACAAACTGCCGCAGCTTGGTTGGGGTCTTGCTGTCCTCCACCCACCCTGGACCAAAGACCAGGATCCCGCTTCCACTGGGTAGACCTCTCCTAGTACAGAGAGCGAATCAGGCTGCTCTTACAAGAGCAATCATTGTGATCCAAGGGAGTATAGTGATTATAGCAGTCCCCAGAGTCTGAATATAGCTCTCCAAGCCCTCAAACATTAGCCTAGACTTTATGAAGGGTAAAACAAATCTTATTTAATGGTAGCCACAACTGGCCTTATATGCAGGTCCCCATGCAAGGGGCACTCCTCTCTGGACCTGAGAGTAGACTACAGTAAAAACATATACACAATTAGATTGGCTTTTAGGTCCAGGACACTCCCATACAAAATAGGTCAATCCCTCCCCTGTGCCTGGGAGATAATTGAGTCAGCACTGTATTAACCCCTTAAGGACAAATGACATGTCTGACACGTCATGATTCCTTTTTATTCCATAAGTTTGGTCCTTAAGGGGTTAAACTCAATTATCTCCTGGCACAGAAAACACATTTTTACAAAACCCCCAAAATACCTTTAAAAACACACAAAACCGGGGCGGAGCCTGACAGCCAAGGCAGCCAGACGTGCTCTGCAAGAGCTCCTGCATCTGGCCCAAATTGAGATTTACGCCCAGGCTGCCCAACAAACAGACTGCAAAAAGCACTCATCTTGCGGAGGGGTCTTCAGTGCACTGGAGGATACCTGTTGTGAGCCTGTCCAGCCCCGGTGCATCCTGGTAGTGGCCTGCGGCCTACACAAGCCTGAGCTTTGGGGAGACGGACGCTCTCCTAGCTCCTCGCATGAACTGAGCAGACCTAGGAATAAAACTAACCTTCCCCCCCCACCCCCGGACCGGTGGGGGTTATCCCGGTATCCACTGGCTGACGCCTATACTGAACCTAAGCGACTATCACCCCACGACTCCTGATCGCGGCGGACTCACCTAAGATGGCGGCCATGCCTCTGCCCCACCAACCGAGCCTGAAACAGCCCATGGAGCTACAAGGAGGGGCCACTGAACACGTGCTGGAGCACTTAGACGTGATCTTTGCTAGCTTCTGGGCCACGTTGGAGGCTCATATCACAGCGACACCAAACCGATCTCCTGAGGGAGAACACCCCAGAGAGCTACCCTATAAGCCTGCGGAAAGCCCAGCAGCTCCCGGTGGTCATCCTGCAAAGCGAAGCGGCAAGAAAAAACACCCCCATCCCCGCACGACTACCAATACCAAAAGAAGAAGGCACAAGAAACCACAGCGGCGGGCAACGCTTTACCGACAAGCCCAGCAACGTGGACATTTCTACCCACCTCAACCACAGAGCTCCAGACTACCCCGACAGGAGCAGCGCGACCCAGAGAGAGTCCCCTTAAGCCACATGGCACACAAGACCGACGGCACACGGAGGTCACAACCTTTCATACCGCTACACTGCACACAGAAAGGGCAGGAGGGGGAAGCAGAGACTGGTACCAGGCGACCTCACCATACTTGGACTCTAAGCAGCATAGGCTAAACGCCATAAGCAGACTCACACCAGACTCAGGGTAACCAGAGTATCAGCCAGTTATATTTTGCCAGCATAATATAACGTTGATTGCATTCTTTTTTTAGTTTTTAATTATATTTCCTCTGTTGAAACTAGTAATCCTACTTAAGCACCCTCAGGCAACTATAACAATATCTTAGTTACTCACAAAAACGAGCAGTATAATCCTGTTATGTCATAACTAAATACTTTTTGCGCCCAAACATAGTATAACTCTCACTCAAGCACGTATTTCAATCTATTGTTTATTTGTTATAATTTACTATCAGTCTAGGTAGCATACCCTCGGGTAAATATGTATGACATGCTCAGTCTAGACTTATATCTCTAGCTTATAAAATAATCCTCTATTATAAAAAAGAAAATGTGCACTGTATATGAAGCCATACTGTTGTTCACCTTTGTTTATTGATATGATTGCACCAGCTATTGTGGCAGGGCAAATCTAAATAAAGAATTAAAAAAAAATAAACACAAAAATCCCCTGATAGCTCTGATCTGGGTGACCAACATATCCAAAAATCACCCAGATCAGTTCAGGGGTTCAGGAATTTCCTGGAAGTCATAATTTGCCTGACAGCCTGCATGGTCCCATGCCCAAAACAGTTCCAGAGAATCGCGGCTAAATGCCGCTGGGGACCGACCTGCAACCGCAAAGTCTTCATGTCGAAAATAGTTCCAGGGCATTTGTGGCTAAGTCCCCCTGAAGTCTATTTGCAGTTTTGGTCCATGAGAACGGCCACCAGGGAGCTAGCGTTCGGTTCTATGCGCATGAATGGAAAGTGCCGAACTAGGGGGAATAAAATATGGGTCTTTACAGTCGCTGACCTGGCCCATAGTCGGTGGCCAGGAGGCCAGCTTCCACACTCCTCCAGGAGTCCGTGGCAAATGTCTGTGTAAAGCAGTGTTTGTCACATACAGTAATAACCACATTTTGGCTAAATAATCTCTTTATTTATACACACTGGCACACACACACACTCAGATACACACAGATATACAGCATACAGGTCGTAATGTTTATATTTGCAGTCACCCTCCTGTTCGCTTACATTTTTTAGGAAGGAGGGCAACTTCCTTTAGTGCTGCTGGCTGAGGCTGGTGTGCAAGGTTGGCAGCAACTCACACCCCGCTGCTGCCTTTCTCCCTCCAGCGCTGCGTTCTCTATGTCTGGGAGGAAGTAACAGTCTGTCACTTCCTCCCAGCATCAGATACTACAGGGGCCCTGGTCGCGCTCTTAAACGACCTCAGCACCTGACCGGTCAAGTGCTACTCATCAGTTGGCTATAAGTGCTTGGGCCACTCGATTGGCAAATCGCGGCTGAAACCCAGTTTTGTAGAGTTCCGTGGAACAAGAATTGGGTATGTTGCTCTAGAAAGAGAATTGTTTGACAGCTCTCCAGTTCCTGGGATCCGTCAACAATATAAAGAGCAAAGTTCTACACTGGAGAACTCATCAGGAACTATCCATTGTTGTAGTCACCATGGAAACCCATTTTAAGAAAAATATGCAATATATCTATGTTGTCTACCTAGCCTACAAAGTGGCAATTAAGCAATGATGCTTTTTTTTTTTTTTTTTAAATAGGTCTAATTGATTTATGCACTAATTGGTAAAATTACTACTTTTATATACATACAATGCTTTATGTCTCTATATAACAATTTGTAACATATTCACAAAATGAAATGAACTATGTGTAGAGTGTCTACAAAGAAAATATAAAAGGAAAGTGACACATTGAATTCTAAAAAATATATCTGTTGTGAAACACGTACAATGTATAGAGTCGTTTATTGAATGAACTTGTGGTTGGCTTTGATGTAACAGAACAATTTTAAGCAAACCACTTTAGATGACTGTGATTTTCATTTTCTCAAACATAGAAAGGTGCAATATTCCATGGGATTGCTTATACATTTTACATACTCTCCCACTTTCTTCTTTCGTCCTCTTTGTTGGAGCAGAAAGATTAAAACCCTTAAATGTGAGTCCCAGCTTGGATTATCAGAATTCTGTCTGATTGTTTTTTCTACATTTTAACAATGTCTTCATGAAAGATTCCATGATTTTTAAACATAACTTTATTCAGTCATAGATAATACGACTTAAAGTGAACTCTGTATCGATAGATAAAATATACTGCATAAAAGCTGTATGACATTGGGGAAATTGTACTACATTATGTTTTTTTTTACCGAATTGTGGCAAATTGAAGCCTTAAATTACAGATTAACATAGCCAAACTATAGCCGAGACGGTGTTCCTGAACTAATTTGGCCCATATTGTTGTATTTGCATTTCAATTCACTACATTTCTGAGTGTAGGATATAAACCACCATACGCCAAACCCCAATGTTATCACCAAAAGATAGACAAATAAGTGTCATACGAAGATATTTTCAAAATTGTAGACCATACAAAAAAAAAAAAACAATGGACAGAAAAGGTGCATATATTCACAGATTCCTGAAATGTTAGTTAAAATGAACATTGTGGCCTTGTGGTAATTAAAGGGATACTTTAGCTTGCTGAAAAGCTTCATTGCAGATCTAAATAGAAATTAACACTTTTATAAATTAACCTGGTTACACCCTCTTGGTTTTCAAACAGACAACAGGTTCTGTTACTTCCTGGTTTCGTTAGCTCAATGCAGCTGATCTCAAGAGGCAGCAATTGCCCAGAGCACTGGATTTACAAAGACTTCTCATTGAGCTGCATTGGGAAGTCTGTGATTGGACAGCCACAGAAAGTCTGTGCGGGGTTAGAAGGGGAGAGCTTGCAAAGGTAGCAGACAAGAGAACTGCAGGTTTTGCAAGCTGCTTTTTATATATATATCCCTAATTAAAAAAATACAAAATTAAATGCATGCAACTTTTCATTTGAGGTATATCTACTAAACAATGTATTTTATTTATTTGGAAAGTAGAGTGTCCCTTTAAGTCATTATAACCTGACTGCACAACACTCTGCCTTTATTCCTTGAGCCATTCGCTACTATAGATGGCTGGCGTGTAACTTGGCTCCCTTCCATTCGAAGTATAGTTTGTTACCCTTTCCTTTGCCTCTATCTGTATTTAACGTATAGTAGGCAATAACTGTAAGCTTTAATTTAACCACTAGGGATTGTCAGCTCTGAAAGTCCCCGCTATGAACGCCTTGATACATCATGTCTCATACAGACAGGTTGGACACACTCTTCTTCCCCATTACTGTAATATTTTATGTTTTTATTGCATGATTGTAAACTTAAATAAAATAATTCAAATTTTTTTTTCCCCCAGAGGTAAAATGTAAACAAATTAACTCCAAAACAAGATATATTGCAAGTTAGATTTTGGAATGTCAGTTTGATATTATATGAAAGGGCCCAGACCCGACCAAAATATTGAACTGATAACTGATCATAAGCCGCAGCCGCTCCCACCAGGAGTAGTTATCAATTCAGTTATTTTTTGCCTGAAATGAGAAATTTTATTTAATTTTGACAATTAACTTTAGTAAAAAGACACTCTGATGTGTAAAAAGTAATTAAAATTAAAACAAATAAAAGTGGCCTGAGACCTTCTAGCAGATGGTATGAGCCTGGGTCACTAGCCTCCACTCTGTGATCTCAAATGGAATCACCAAAGCTGCATATTAGACCTTATCTTTCTTATGGCCCTGTGTCGTGGATTTTATTATCCTATGGTTTACACCTACACTTAACAATGGGCCAAAGTATTGCCCAAAACCTTTTCCCCCATTACAGTTTTCCCAATTTCTTCCTATAAAACACAATCCCAGTATGCTCTTAGCAAGAGCCTGGCAATGTAAGGGGTTAATTAATTGGATTATACAAAACTCCCGAATGATACGAATACACACTCCACCCTAATTGCGCAGGGGATATTTCATAATTGGTTTTGTATATGTTTTTTTTTTTTTTTTATTATTCAACAGCTAATGAATTCCATCCATTTAATTCAAACAGGAGAAAAATGTAACTATCAAAATCTATTAGAATTCTGTCTGTTAAAATCTTGCTTTAAATTACAAGTTTAGCAAATTAACCCCATTAAAAAATATATATTTTTTTTGTTCAACTAGCATCCTTTAAAAAAAAAAACCCACTTCAAATATTGCCCAATTAATCTGACCAAAGCTATTAGTACACAGACAAAAACAAAACAAAATGAGAGCAAATAATCCATTGCAGATAGTACAACATTCTTTAACCTCACTTTCCTATTCTAGTAGTGCCCCTTTAAGTTCAGATATGGCATTTTCACATGTTGTTATATACTTTGTATCTGTAGTTTTTGTTTAACTTGTCATTTGCCCTGCAAACATTGTTAGCTTACCTTGAAAGTATCAGTTAACGTTGCTTTTATTATAGTGATTTTAAAATGACATTTCTAAAAGAATCATTCTGTTTAGCAGTTACATTGGAGCAGACTGGTAGATTGCAAACACAGCGGATCCACAAGTCACTTAAAACAATTAACAGAACACAATTAGAACTAAATTTAGCATGAAACAAATGTGAACTCTTGGTGCCTTACCTGTAATAAGTACTGCCTTGTCTTTGGTGGGTAGCAGATCTCTGACAGGTATTGAAATATAATAAGTGATGCATGATAAAATGAATATAGTCAGTCCAATGCTTCTAGATAGAAGGTAGAAACAGACAAGTGCCACTATCAGCAGTGACAGCAGCCCACAGACACAAGCATGCTCTATCTTCACCTTGTTCCTGATTAATTTGTGAAGGGCAGATCCCATAAAAACAGCACTTACTGCACAGTATAGCAGCAAGGACTCACACTGTACCAAAGCCATATCCCAGGCAAAGTCCCAGTCACCAGTGGGAGACATTCACAGAGACTTCACAGACCTTGTTTATTCATTGAGCTAGGTAAAAAGGTTTTTCGACTTGTCTGACTTGTTAATAAGTTGCTGCTATAAATATAAATCTCCTTCCCACCTCTTTATGTGTGTGTGTTTTTTTTTTTTTCTTTGTCTGGTACATTAGCCCCTCCCTTGCAGACTTTACACTATTTATATAAAGAGTTGTAACAGCCCATTCATTACCTAAGGTTAATGCAATGGTTAGCAGTAGGGTTTGTCAGCTGAGATCATGAGCCTACATATCTGTATACATAGCCTGCACTTGCTCATGATGACAGTTGCCAAAGCTCCTTGGTTTAGCACCCCTCCCTGTCACAGGTGCCTCATCCCAGGACTCTGTTTAGCTTTGTACCGCAGAGAGCCTCAGATGGAATTGTTTCCCCCAAGTAAGTGGGTTAATCTCTCTAAAGCAGACCTTAGGCTGTTAGATTAGGATCTGCTAAAGATGGGGTACAATGATGTTGTGGCAGGCTTATGCAATGTATGGTCATATAATGTAACTAAAACCCCTAGATTAGGTGTTTTAAAAAAAAAACGAATAAAATCTGTCAACATTAAAGTTGCCATTTAATGGATAAGTGAGTGCGCTGGATCTTGTGTATTGTGTGTGTGAGTGTGTGCGTGCATATATATATATATATATATATATATATATATATATATATATATATATAGAAAGAGGCAAACAAACAGAATAACACCCTTTAAAAAAAACAACTTGTGCTTAAAGAAACACTATAGCATTATTAGTACAAATGTACATTCCTAGCATTATAATCCCCTGTTAAATGTTTAGGTCCGCCCCTGTTAGGTTAAATGCACTTTTACTTACCCTTTCTCTGTTGCAGCGCTGAGAGAGCATGCTCATGCACGACCAAATGCGCTGCGCCAATCAGATGGTTTCTATGAGACCATGTGATGAAAATAGCAGAGTTTTACAGTTCTGAAGGAAACTCCACTAGTGGCTGTCAGAGTGACAGCAACTAGAGGGATTGAAACCCTCCGCATTAAAGATTGCTGTTCCTGCAGTGGGGCACGAGGGGGACATGGCACCTAAACCACTTCATGTACGTGATTTGGTCTGGGTGCCTATAGTGTTCCTTTAATTATGTGCAAGTACAGTCACATGATATCCCTTAATAATGTGCTTTTCATAGAACCAAACTGTGTGTAGACTTTCAAATCTACTTTCAGGACTCAGCAGTATAGAAAAGAAAAGACAATTTTAGTTCCGAGCATATGGTAATAAAATGTTATCCACATTATAACATGTATACAGTAGTATAGGCATCATGCAGGGTCCCCATTCATTAGAAATGAGATACACTCCCTAAACTGTCGGAACAGGATGTGCCCACCCTACTCATTTTGTCTAAACAGAAAAGACTTCTTGACTCCTTCTGGGACTTAAATGTGAACAGTTTCCATCCACCATTTGGATTTTCCAGGGCACACAAAAAATGATACCCTGTGCTATGTAAAATTCATGGAACACTACTGGGACCAGAAGAACTATGCATTGGGAGGCTAGTGTGCATGCAACTTGCTGTGTGGCACCAATCAGCATCTCCTTATAGACATGCATTGACTCAATCAATCTCCCAGGGAGCGTTGAGTGTTTCCATGCAGAGTGTGGACACTGAATGTCAGTCCTGCAATACTTGCTGCACCGGACATCTACTAGAGGTGACATTATGGAGCAGTGTAAACCTGGTCTTTTATCAGAAAAGGCAGCATTTACACTGCTTAACCTGCAGGGACAGGCTTTATGCCCTAGAACAGGGGTAGGGAACCTTTTAGCAGCACTGTGCCGATATAGGATTGTGATGTCCCGTAACGTGCGGTCCTATTTTTTTAAATTGAGTTGTGTATGCTGCCGTATTCTGCTTGTGTTATTTATACTGTAATTGCTTTGTATCGTTGTATATGTGCATTAATATTGACTGGACCCTGGGCAAAGCATTTGCTTGGGGCCCCCTGGACCCTGCCCCCCCCCCCCAGGCGTGCAATCACGTCCTCCACGCCAACGCTGACACACACAGACATACTAACACTCACACACAGACATGTTGACACACACACACACACACACACAGACAGACTGACATACTGACACACAGATATATTGACACACACACTGACAGACATACTGACACAGACACGCAGACATACTGACACAGACACACAAGCATACTAACACACAAAATTTACACTTTAAAACCCACCCTCCAGTTTCCTACCTTTCCTGCTGGTGGCTGAAGGTGTTGGGAGTTTGGGTCTGGCTCTCTCTGCCAGCCCCCCTCCAATCTGCCTACTCTTCCTTCCCACGCGATCCTCTCTTTGTGGGAGGAAGTGACTCAAGGTTGTTCCTTCCTCCCAGCCTGCAGCCGAAAATAAGGGGCCCGCTCGCGCTGTTAAAGTGCCTCAGCGCGCGACCAGACCCCTGCTGACAGAAGCCCACCGGGTGGCCCCTTGGGCATGGGCCAGCTGTTGGGCCTCCTTAGTGTGCGGATTACCGGCTGGGGGGGAGAAATAGTTGAGACCAGCGGGCTCACGGTGCAGCTGCCCGTTTTCCCCGAGTTAAAGACGGCCCTGCGTATATGAGCTATTATTTTGTATATGTTCATGAGTAGTTTATGGTATTGTGTATGATACATATGAATGTAAGCTGTGTATGGGGGCTGCTTGTGGAATTGTGTGTATGTGTGGGGGCTGTTTGGGGTATTGCATGTGAGAGGCTGCATGTGGGGTTGTGTGCATGTATGTGGATTGTTAGTGGTGTTGCGTTTGTGTGGATTGTGTGTATGTTTGTGTATGGGCTGTTCGTATTATTTGAACGAGGGAGGGTTATTCTGCATTTCTGTGTATATCTAGCAGTATGGGTGACTTCCCTGGGTTCCAGTGGGGACCAGGCTGGCCAGGTACATGTCAAGGACAGGAGCTGCAAGGCTGCTCTATTCCAGTGTGGATACCCATTCACAAGTGCTGGGAGGAAGTGATCTGAGATCACTTACTCTATGTGCTGCAATGCATAAATTGAGGATTGTCCTTCACCACCTTTTTGTATTAGCAGATATTTGAAGTTTTACTGGGACTCCTGATAGGCCAGGGCCTGTTTGGCTCTAGCAGCCTTGAGTGCCGTGCAAAGACACCTCGAGTGCCGTGCATGGCACTAGTGCTGTAGGTTGCCTACCCCTGCCCTAGAACAATTACATTAAACTGTAGAAGCACTGGTGTCTGTAGTGTCCCTGCTTTATTGCTACAAGAGTGAAATCAAGTCATTAGTTAATAAGAAATCATGCAGCATACTATGTCTACATACTGCAGGGTGGCACTCTTCAGGTGCTGTCCATCAAAATGAATACATTATGTATGTCCAAGAAAACATGGTAAATCAGGTAACCAAACCCTACTAAGGATAATGTTATAAACTGAAGATCCAACTTAGGACCTGGACACAGCCTATAGTATATAGCACTCAGATGCTGCTAGAAGGAAAATAGTTAATGAATCAAGGCAACCCTCTTTCGGTAACTAACCAATTTCTCTCTTGCATGATATAAATGCTACATACCACAATGTGTCACATTTCAGTTTCTGCCGCTCATCAAGAATTCAAATGTGTCCATGATAATTGGTGGATCTGACAAGCTTAAAGGAACATTCCAAACACCAAAACAACTTCATCTAAATGAAGTTCAGACGCTCTCAGCCAATCAGCGACACAACCACCCTGCGGCACTCTGCTCTTCCTGAATTTGAAAATTCTGAAGCCGGAAGTCTCCAGAAAGGGAGTGGAGATCGGTGCTGAAAGCAACTTAGGGGTTAAACCATACGAGAATGGTTTGACCCCTTGCGGTAAGAGTGACTCTAGGAGCCTCCTGGTACCATAATAACTTATTTTAGATGAAGTTGTTTTGGAGCCTGGGGTGTCCCTTTAATCCAGTTATGACATTCCCTGTTTGGCAGGTTACTGATAATGAAATTCATATTCACATGCCTTGTGCAAGAGAAAAGAGGCTAAAGAGTCAATCAGTACAAATATTCAGCTGAGAACCTAAAGCTGTCTTTTCTGTTGCATGTTGCACGTTTGTAGTCCTCTTTAAAGTGTGCCAGAACAACCTTGCAGTGGTGCATAAAGAGGCTTACTACTATCTTTTAGTTAACTCTTAGAATATCACCTCCCCACTCCCTTTACAATGTAAGCTAGCTTGCGTAGGGCTCTCAACACCCTCTGTTCCTGTGCATCCAACTTGTTTTGTTGCAAATACTTGTCTGTTAGTCCACCTATTGTACCGCGATGTGGAATTTGTTGGCGCTTTATAAATATTGATGATAATAACAATTCCTTTATGAGTGACATCTGAAACAGTTTATGTTTTCGAGTCTTAATTGAATCCAATGTTTTGATCTATAATCAAGATAGAGCACTAAAGCTATAATACTTTCAATGTAAGTCAGTGGGGTTTTCAATATATGTCTTTTATTATGGTTTGAGAAAGGTTTGATTAAATATTGTGAGTCATTATTCTGTTACCTCTGTCACTGTTGAGCTTGGAGACAACTCCGAGTGAATCGGTAAATGTATTGATCATACAGTAATATTGATAGTATTGGAAAGTTACAGAGAAACTCTCCTGATGCATGCGAAGAAATCAAGTACAACAAATCTACAAATATAGTTGTGAATTGAAAGGTTCTAGAACAGAATAGTATTCCTAAACAGAAAAGCTTAGAAGCAGCAGGAGTCTAAAACCAGTAAGCCTTTGGTCTGGACATATGGCAATAGTAGCACCTCCAGGCAAAACACATACTGAGACAGGTGTCTCAGTTCCCCTTTAATCTTCACCAAATCTCAATGAGAGCTGTCACGAATGCAGAGACAGTTATTCAGGACAGTTCAAATAGATTTTAGGTTCAAACAGACAGAGAGAATGGCGGACACAGTTCATAACAGAGTGACAGTAGGTAAAGAGCAATTTTGCACTCGCACCTCCATTTCAATAATGTTGTGTATCGCACATTGTTGAAACCAATGGATTACTCAAAAGAAAAGTATGCCTATAATTTAATAGGCATAATTTTCTTTCGAGTCTCGTCTTCAATTTGAGACCTTTCTCCATTAGTTTCTATTTATATCTTCGCTGTGTCATGCCCTAGTTACCCTACAACCATTTTGAGCAACAGGTCAAGACTTCTTGTTTTGCAACTGGGGCTCACTTTTTTTCTGTCGCACATTGTTGTATGTACATCAATGAATGGACCTGTGGTGGAATGTCCTCAGGGCTATGGCGGGCCACTCTTATTGGCTGAGATTGTTAGCTGAGAACTCTCAGCCACTGAGTGCAGTCCTGTATTGGAAGAACAGAGGAGAAGACCGTAACTCTGGGAGGCTGCCATGACGCTCCTGACACAATAGCCACTACAGCGGTTTGTAGTGGTTCTAGTGTTCGAAGTCTTCCTTTAATAAAGAGATTTTATACTCCACACTTTGTGCCATTTATGTTCCCATGTTTAGTCACTTAGGGCAGGCTTATGTCTCAGTTTTGTAGAGCTGTGGTTGAGCAAATTGAGCCCTTCTTTTTCTATATGTCATGTGGCATATTTGTCAAAAGCTTGTCAGTATGCTAATGTCATGTTGCTGGAACATGAATTGAACATTATCGTGTTAGGTGAGGTTTTCTGATAAGCACTAGTATAGGTGGAGCTGTATAATCCTCTGATACGATTGTGCTGTTCAAACCACTTTCCTTGTTTTAAAGAATTGGGACTTAAAGGGACACGCCAGGGTGGATTACACGAGTCACTAAAGGCACTCATATCACTTCATCTCAGTGAGGTGAAGTATTTCTTTAGTTTTAAGGCTGCCATTTAGTAGATACACCACTATAGATGTTTCCCTATTTAAATCGAGTCAAACTTGGTTCTCAATCAAATACTGCTCCTTGATTGGACCAGTGCAGCAATTTGCCACACATGTGCATTAGCCTCTCAATGCTTCCCTATAGGGAACTGTCTTATTGGCTGAGATCATCAATCTTGATGAACTACCCATTGTACAGCGCTATGGAATCTGATGGCGCTATATAAATAATAAAATAATAATAATAATAATAATAATAATTACTCAGCCAGGGGATTGAGGCAGGAGCATTGAGAGCAGCGTGGCAAGGGAAGAAAGGTAAGTAAAACTGTCCTTTTCTATTGCTGACGTGGGCTGGTCACCTAAACAGTTGGCACAATTGTATTCCTAACGCTAAAGTAGAAATACAGAAGGGTGGTGTCAGTTACACAAAGACAGTTTATATGTAAGAAATACGACCTGAAAATCCGGATAAAACAACCAAGTGCTGAATCTAAAAAGCAAGGGACCTATATATGGTAAAGAATATACGTATAGAACCAGAGGACCGAGGAGGTAGAGCACAAAATAAATGGATAAAGTGAGCCTGTCTCCCTCAGGGGTATTTCCAAGAGAGCCGATGTCTTCCAATACTGGAGAACACACAAGAGAAGGGCACAAAGTGCAATATGTATGTAAAAGGAATACATTTAATTCAAGGTTGCACTTACACACATAGAAAAAAGCAGGCTTATCTCCACTTGCAGAGTTGAATCTTTCCGATTCCTTGGTACTAATCCAAAAGTGCAGATCACCATAAATACCAGACAGTAAAATAAAAACAATTAAAAGTCCAATAGAGGTTGCAGTATACACTTCACCATATATATACTATTTAGTGTTTGAATGTTTACATTAATTTAATATATTGGTTAAAAATCCTTACTTTAAAAAAAAAAAGGTTAGAAAATGTGATAGGTTCAGTTACCCATCCTTATCTGTATGATACAAGTGTATCTGTTCAAATCATTTACTCTCGTTTTTTCAAAGCGCGTGCAACAAATACACCTTTTAATTGGATATCTAAGGCTGGCGGTTCACTACATTGTCAGGAAGCATCTGTCTGTACTGCTGTGAATATTATGTTCAAGGGCAGCGTGCCCGGAGGAGAAGTTTTGTTCTTCACAAATTCTCTGGGACAGCATTTTTTTAGATACAGTGTTATGTACATTTGGTAAAAAACAGCAGAAAAAAATCAAAAGAACATTAGCAAAATGTGCCAACAAACCAAGGACTTGCAAAGATGTAATGATGTGTGTACTTTTGTATTTATATGGTTTTTTTTAGCATTTATCCCCAGGTGTCATAGAGTCCTTTGTAAACCTTGAATACATGGAAGTAATGGCGAAGTTCCACTTGCATCTCTTATGTCTCTGTATGCTGCTGTTGACTCATCACACATTACTCGTCACAAGTTTTGTTACCCTAGGTTAGGGGTGGGCAAATAGTAGATCCTCGGGTATTGTTGAAAGAAACCTCCACAGTGTTTTTCTAGAAGGCTGGCAAAGCATCGTGGCACTTGTAGTTCTACAACATCTGTGGATCTACCATTTGCCCAGCCCTAGGCTAACTACAAGCATTTTCCCCCTTTACTTATAACTTGATCATATATTCCTGTCATTGCAATTGCTAGTGTCATCACTCTTGGTTTTCCAGACTGAAAAGCTTGTGGTCATATTTTTTTTTTTAGAGTAATTATCTTGCAATGGCTGTGACTGATGGGAGTTGGAAAGTGCCAAGTTTACGGGACACTACCATCACCCAGAACACTTTATCTCAATAAAGTGGTCTGGGTGCAGCGGTCCCACCCTTTTAACAAAAACAGGGAGTTTGAGAAATATGAGAACCAGTCAAAAGCCTCTATAGACTCTGTAGCTTGCAATTTGGTTAGTCCCGCTCAGGTCTCAAAAAGAGAACCTATACTATTTGCACTGCACACTGATCACAGCCATAAGGGCAGTCCAGAAACAAACTGCCGGCAAGAGATACAGCAACCTCAGACAATCATTTTGGCCTTCTTTGGGCCTCGTCAGCGTGGTGTAGCTGATACCCCTTTAGGCACAGTAAGCATGGGATCCATGTCTGGATTACCCTTTCGGCTTAGGGAAAGCCCATGCAAATGCATTGCAAAAAAAAAAAAATAGAGGATATAGGAACTCTGAGAACAGACAAAATATTAGAGAAACTCTGTAGCTTGCAATTCACTTAGTCACCCGCTCCGGTCTCAAAAATGAGAAACGATCATCTGGGGTTGCTGTATCTTTTCTACTTGAAAGCACCCATCCATTGCAGAACACATTGAATTGCAGTTCATTCATTCTCAGGCTATCAATTAAATGATATATTCACTAAACTCCAAACTGGCAAATTCAAATCTGAATTGTAAAACTGATACTATAATAGCCAAACTATGATAAAGCTGAGTTGGAGAATTTTTCCAGATCAGCTATTTTCAGCCTCAGTTGTGCCATTCAGTTATTATTATTATTATTATTATTGCCATTTATATAGCGCCAACAGATTCCGTAGCGCTTTACAAAATTATGAGAGGGAGATTTAACTATAAATAGGACAATTACAAATAAACTTACGGGAACAATAGGTTGAAGAGGACCCTGCTCAATCGAGCTCACATTCTATAGGAGGTGGGGTGTAAAACAATATAGGACAGGAATTTGCAGTCAAATAAGGTGGGCTTCCCTTTAGGTGAGAGCAAGAGACAGGTATGTGAGGTAGAGGTTACTCTGGGAGGCCATAAGCTTTCCTAAAAAGATGGGTTTTAAGGCACTTCTTAAAAGATGCAAGACTAGGGGAGAGTCTGATGGCGGTAGGCAGGCTATTCCATAGGAAGGGAGCCGCCTGCAAGAAGTCCTGCAAGCACGAGTTGGCCGTACGGGTGCGATCAGCGGACAGGAGGTGGTCACAGGCAGAGCGGAGAGACCGAGAAGGGGCTTACTTATGGATCTGTGAGGAGATATAAGAGGGACTAGAGTTGTTCAGTGCTTTATAGGTGTGAATTAGTACCTTGAATTGACTCCTATAAGATACAGGAAGCCAATGTAAGGACTGGCAGAGGGGTGAGGTGTGAGAGAACTGACTTAAGAGGAAAATCAGTCCGGCAGCAGCGTTCATTACAGACTGTAGCGGGACAATACGGCTTTTGGGAAGACCAATCAGGAGAGGGTTACAATAATCCATGCGGGAAATTATTAGAGCATGGACAAGCTCGTTGGTAGTATCTGGTGCAAGAAAGGGGTGGATGCGGGCTATGTTTTTAAGATGGAATCTACAGGATTTGGCAACATACTGGATGTAAGGCTCAAAGGTGAGGCCAGAATCAAGTATGACGCCAAGACAGCGCGCTTGCAAGGATGGACTGATGTGGGTACCACAAACTTGAAGGGAGAGCGAAAGAGGAGGATCAGTATTAGGAGGAGGAAAGACAAGGAGCTCAGTTTTAGAGAGATTGAGTTTCAGAAAGCGGGAGGACATCCAGTCAGAGATGGAAGAAAGGCAAGCAGTGACACGTTGCAGGACGGCAGGGGAGAGGTCCGGGGAGGAGAGATATAGCTGGGTGTCATCAGCATTCAGTAAGCTGTTGTTTAGTGATTAAACCCTCAAGTGCAAACTTTCTAGAATTTCGAATTCTAGGTCAAAATGGCTGAATTGGAAAAACAAATTCCCACGCCAGCTATGATTTCGTTCAGCTTGTGTTGCCTACAATTTGAGATTCACCTGACAGTTCTCACTTTAGTTTAAGTATTATGGCTGCCAACTCCCATGTAGTGCGTTATGTTATGGGCTAATCATTGTGGCTAGTGGAGGCTACAGAGGGTAGAAAACGAACTTCTTGAGAACCGGTGAAGGAATGATTCCATTATCAAACCAGCCTTTAAAGAGTCAGCATGGAGGGCACATCAAGGGCCTATGTCTGCCGCATTCATAATTTCACAAACGTGTTACTGGCTACATCACTAGCATGCTTCATTGCAGTATGTGGCAGTTTTAGCACGGCAATGGAAACATTCTAAATGTTTTACATTGCAGGGTTAAGGTGGCAGGGACACTGCAACCAGAGATTTGAGTGGCAGGGACACTGCACCCAGAAATTTGAGTGGTTTGGGTGCCTATTGTGTCTGTTTAACTGTTAGAAAGCTGGAGGTTGTCAAGGTGTTTTGCGTGCCCTATTAATATGCTGATATTACGTTAAAGGGTTACTCCATACAAAATAAATTGTTGTAATAAAATACTGGTTTTGCTTATACTAAACCTTGCCGGCGTGGTCGTACTTGTAAAATAAACACAATAAAGAATATGTTTACCTGCAATCCCAAGCCGTTGGTCGTCTGATACTAATAATAGATACTAATAATACTCCTGGAGGTGAAAAACTGCACATTTACATTCCAGGCAATGTGACTATTCCAGAACACTGGAGTGGTCATGGTGGTTGGTGTAACACATGAAAAATAAATATAAAACAAACAAAAAAAAGAGTAGCATTATGCACCTATGGCGAAGTGTTAAAATCAGCACACTCTACCGGAACATTGCTTCTCATAGATTAAGATGGATAAATGTCATGGTTGTTGTGCTTAGTGTTCCTTTAACGATTGTGGGTTAGATGTCATAGAAACACATGGATACACTCTAACAAAAAAATAGATAGTAAATCCACTATTATAATGTGTGCAATGTGTTTTTAGCAGGTTTCACACACAGTGTATTGTTTTCTTCTTAATGGATTTGGAAAATACTTCTAAAAGGAACCATGAGACATCAGAATGGTGTCAATTGTTAGCATTCACACAATGGCAACACAACAAGCAGTTTAAAATGACAAACAGATCTCATAGATTCCATTGATGCCATGTGTGTATATTTAATTCTGAATTCCCCTTTACTCCTACATCAATTAAAAATCTTTCATAGCATAAACTGGCATAGTTTAGTGGTGAAAAAATATACATATAATTGTTTATAATTTATAATCCACTATTTGCCTTCTAACTAATCACATTACTAAACTGTTCTCTGTTAGAAACTCCAGCTCGGGCTAATGTTATCATTGATCATGCACAGAGCACGGGAGTTCATGAGGACTCGTATCCTCAACAGACTCTTCATAAATATATTACATATTTCAGCTGTTTTTTGTTGTTTCCACAGGACAGATTATATATTTCTGTAGCCTAATTCTAATTTGCCATCTTATTAGACTTTGTCAGCCTTAAAGGATTACACTGACATTATAAATAAATAAATAGATATTTATTTACATTGCCCGACAAAAGTGGCAGCATCTATGCACCAAAACCACTCTATTACTATTTATATACTTTAATAACACGATTATTATGGTAAGCTTACACCACATGTGACGCTATATGTTGTTTGGTTTGGACCTATTTATTTTAGCGTTCCACTCTGATTCTTATTGCGTTATTTTGTTCTGTTATCACACTAAAGATGCCTTTTTCTTCTTGATCCACACATACAAACATATATACATATATATATAGAGGGATGGAGTTGTTATTTATTTTACGTCTTCTTTATGATTGGATACACATGATACCATTTTACTGTGTGTATATTGACAGTATTTATAAATTACAGCTGTGTCAGTGATCTTTATCTCATATAAGAGTAGCAAAATGCAGTGAGAATTTACAGGCCCAGGACATCTCATAATTAGAGGCACTTCTTCTGTGTAACGCTATATACAGCCCTACTACAATATTTCACTCATTGTCTTTCAGGCGCTGTACTTCGTTAGCTGAATTTTTCAATCTAGACTTGTAAACTACATTTCAGCCAAAACAGATGGCAACATATGTTAGTTTTCACTTTAATACATTCTGTTAATGCAAATATAAAACACGTTCTATAACCAGAGGGGAATATTTTCTGTGATGTGAAGAAGATATCAGCAGGTACAGTAATTAATAAATCCTTTTTTTTTTTTTTTTTTTTAATTAGTCTTATTACATATGCTTCTGGACATATAACAGGCCATACAAATAAAGCCAAGCTTATCAATAGGCGGATTAGGGGTTGTGCAATTTGAGACATAGAAGTGTGTAGCTTGGCCAAAGCCACTTGAGTTCAGATTCTACTCACTAACTAGTTTTGTTTAAATTGATCACCTGTGGCAAGGAATGCGGTTTTGATTCATAATAGAAATCTCTGAAACATTTATTTATCGTGAAATTAGGTGACCTGAAACTGAATTGTATTGGCCAGACTATAGTTATAGCAGAGTTGGCCTACATTTTCAAATTAGATTTTCAGTTCAATACAACTCATGCAAAACCTCTTTGTTTTCACATTTTTACTGATGCTAAGACAAAGGAAAAAATAAAATACTTACAGATCTATCAAACTTGTGAAAGCAGGAAATACTGACGATTACAAAGCACGTCTTTGAAACTATCATCTTCCTTTTAGAAACATGGACTTTTTATGCTTGTTCTGAGTGCGGTGAAAATATGTTATTGTGTAAGAATTCTATCACTTCATTAAATGTGGTCACACAGTGTTCCCGTTTGTTTGGGATTTATGGATTGAACTGAGCATTTAGTTTTATAGGGGCAGTGAAACTTTTTTTTTGTTTTTTAAACTTATAGCAGCTATTCAAAAAATATTTTCATCCCTGAGATCAGTGAAGCAAATGTGCTGTGAGGGGCATTCGGTTCTGATCACAAACACAG